CTAAAAACATATGCTGGATAAGTTAGCGGTTCATACCTCTGTGGCGACCCCTGATTAATAAAGAGACTAAACCGAAGGCAAACGCATGATATATATCTAGCCCTTCCCCTTAGCCCTAGGCTTTCAAGCTAAAGACAATTGGGACACCCCTACCCCCTCACATGAACGCGCAAAATGGAAGGGGAAGGTCTAAGGGGGAGAATTGGTATTGGGCCAAAGTGTATATAAATGTAGTTGATGTGCGCTGGAGGTCACACACACACTCGTGTACGTAAATACACCTCTTTATATTGTTTTAAGGGTCGCATTTAGTACTTAATAGTTTCTATGGAATGCTTTACAATATTATATTTGTGGGTAAACATTAGATTATTCAGTGCTGAAGCCTAATCTAGAGCTAATCTAACAAAATAACTTATGATAACGGCTAATTTGTATGTTATACAAAAATCTTAAAATGTTAAAATAGAGAAAAAAATCAAGAGAAAAAAATATTTTGTAATTTGTAATAGTTTTTTTTTTTTTTTTTTTGCAATTTGTCATATGAATTTAAATGTTTTATTTCCATCTCTAAGATAACTCAAAAGTTTCTGGTGTCCATATGCATTGAAATTTATATGGAATTTAAGTAGTATTAAGTAAGTCAAGTAAGTTACATATTGAGTAATTAATCTACTTTTCAGACAAAGTGTCACATTCAGTATTTTCTATAGTACAATATAATATAAACTACTTTTTTAGAATATAAATGTAAACGATGAAATCATAAGTCCAAGGCTCTCGAAAAGTAAGTGAAAACATCTATGGTCCCACTTTATATCAAGTGGCCTTAACTAATATGTACTTACACAGGAATTAATAGTTTGTTACAATCTACTTATTGTGTAAATACATGTATTTATTGTGTACTTATGCTTGATTAAATACCTGTATGTAAATACATCTGTAATTAACTTCTGTAATTACGTTTGTAAATACACTGCTGACCATTCCCTACACCTTAACCCACCCTTACACCTACCCACACCACCAAACCTGTCCATAACCCAACCTCTATCCCAACTCAAGAGCACCACAAGTGTTCTCAAATACATTATAAACACAGTAAGTACATTGTATTTATTTTTTGACGCATGTACATAGTAGTTAAGGACACTTAATATAAAGTGGGACCAAATTTATTATTAAAATTATTTCACTTTTCGAGTGTCTTGGACTTATGATTTCATTGTTTATCTTTATATATCCATTAACCTAAAGAGCACTGGCACATTACTGACACATTAATTACCCCTGAAGCACGTGTGGTGTAAATATGGATTTATATATAGTTGAAGTTAGAAATATTAGCCCCCCATTGTTTTATTTTTTTTTTCTTCTTTTTAAAATATTTCCCAAATGATGTTTAACAGAGCAAGGAAATTTTCACAATATGTCAGATAATATTTTTTCTTCTGGAGAAGGTCTTATTTGTTTTATTTCGGCTAGAATAAAAACAGTTTTTAATTTTATTAAACACCATTTTAAGGACAAAATTATTAGCCCCTTTAAGCTTTACTTTTCTTTGAACAGAACAAACCATCATTATACAATAACTTGCCTAATTACCCTAACCTGCCTAGTTAACAAAATAACCTAGTTAAGCCTTTAAATGTCACTTAAAGCTGTATAGAAGTGTCTTGAAGAATATCTAGTCTAATATTACTTACTGTCATAATTGCAAAGATAAAATAAATCAGTTATTAGAGATGAGTTATTAAAGCTATTATGATTAGAAATGTGTTAGAAAAAATCTGCTCTCCATTAAACAGAAATTGGGGAAATAAAAGAAACAGGAGGGGGCTAATAATTCTGAATTCAACTGTACATGTAAATTAAGTGCACTGGAGACGAAGTGGAAATTGTTTAGATCAGTGGTTCTCAAACTGTAGTATGTGTACCACTAGTGGTACGCAGGCTGCCTTCTGGTACGCAGAGTAATCCAATATGTCCTATGTACATGCAACATATATTTAACAATGTACCAAAAATGGTTCATATACGAATATGATGACATATAGCCTATATTTATGAGGTCCAAGCAACATGAATAGGATACTTTAGGTTAACAGTTTACATGTAAGTACAGTAGATTTGTTTTTACTTTTTAAAAACAGTAGCCTACCGTTTTAATGAACTTTTAAAAGCACATTTCAATTTAAACGTTGACATTTTATTTTGTTTGTTTGTTTTTTACATATAAGCACAGCAGTGTTAATGTTTAAACCATTTTAAGGTTTAAAGTGGCTGATAATAATAAAAATATGGTAACACTTTACAATAAGGTTCATTAGTTAATGCATTTACTAACATGAACTAATCATGAAAAACACATGTACAGCATTTATTAATCATAATTGAACATTTACTAAGGCATTATTAACATTCAGGTCCATGCCGTCTTTCGGATGAGACGTTAAACCGAGGTCCTGACTCTCTGTGGTCATTAAAAATCCCATGGCACTTCTCGTGAAAGAGCAGGGGTGTAACCCCAGTGTCCTGGCCAAAGTCCCTCTATCGGCCCTTACGATCATGGCCTCCCAATCATCGCCTTCAACCGAATTGGCTCTATCACTGTCTCTCCACTCCATCAATAGCTGGTGTGTGGTGAGCGCACTGGCGCCGTTGTCCTGTGGCAGCCGTCGCATCATCCAAGTGGATGCTGCACACTGGTGGTGGTGTGGAGAGACCCCCCTCATGATTGTGAAGCGCTTTGGGTGTATGGCCATACACAATAAATGCGCTATATAAATACACATTACATTACATTACATATGCTTGTTAACATTAGTTAATGCACCATGAGTTAACATGAACTAACAATGATCAACTGTATTTTCATTAACTAACGTTTACTAACATGAATAAATACTGTAGTAAATGTATTGTTCAATGTATGTTCATGTTAGTAAATGCATTACTTAACATTAACTAATGAACCTTATTGTAAAGTGTGACCAAAAATACTTGATCATAGTAATTCATCTTCCACGTTTTTAAACTGTGCAGAGCTGTAGCTGCCTAAATTGGCCTATTAAGCTACTGTATTTCAATACTGGTCATATGCTGGTACTTGGAGGGACAATTTGTTTCTGAGGTGGTACTTAATGAAAAAAGTTTGAGAACCACTGGTTTAGATCAGTAAATACACACTCATGTAAATACACCTCTTTTTATTGTTTAAAGTGTCACATTCTGTTAGAGCTGTGAACCTACCTAGTCTCACGGTTCGGTTACGATTATCATGCCATCGATTCGGTTCAATTCGATATTTCGGTGCATCACGGTGCATTGACGATGCTTTCCATAAACAGTTTTATATTTTCTTCACAGCATGGAGTACGCTACTTTCATTCTCTCGATCTCAGTGAAATAGGGGCTATTGTTGTGTATGTCAGTGAAAGACTGATCCAGCAAACACACACAGTGAAATTGTGCACAGTTTATGAGTTTTAAGTAGTTAAATCGCTGTAAATACTCGCGATCGCCTCCCTCGCGACAGAGCACATATGAGGTAAATGACGTCAGTAATAACCGGTTATGGTTATTACTGAACCGATACCGAATTGTCCACGTCTGCATCGCGATGCACCGAAGAAACGATTAATTTTGACACCCTTACATTCTGTATTTAATAGCTTTTATAGGATTCATTACAATTTTATATTTGTGAATATACAACAGATTATTCAGTACTGAAGCCAAATCTGGAACTCAAATGTCTCAATTAGTATTTAACTGTCAATATCAAGTTATCAGTTTAATTTAATGTGACGCTGGCAAAGCACAATCATCCAATCAATTCTCCATGTACAGCTGAAGTCAGAATTGTTAACCCCCTGTATATTTATCCCCTAATTTCTGTTTAACGGAAAGATCCAATCATAATAGTTTTAATCAATGATTTATTTTATCTTTGCCATTATGACAGCACATGATATTTTACTAGATATTTTTCCAGATACTAGTATTGAGCTTAAAGTGACGTTTAAAGGCTTAACAAGGTTAATTAGGGGTAATTAGGCAAGTCATTGGCTGTTTCTCAATTCCAAGAATGCAGAGAACAGACTTGTGTTCTTGTGGAGAGCGGTCTTGCCAGGTGTCCTCGGAAGAACGAACTTAGGAGACCGCGAGGGCAGAGAACGCGTCCTTTGAGAATTGAGATGCTGCGTTCTTCCTGATGGTCACGTGACCTTCACGCATTTTAAATGGAAATTATTTAAACATTACAGCACTCATACAACGATTTATTGTTTCCCCCCTCTTCAAAATATATACTTTGCATAAAAAGACTATCAATATACTCTGCACAATATAAATAAAACAGATTTTAATATGAATTTCAGCAAACAAAACTCTTAATGTGTTTATTCCTTTATTAAGATGTTCATGTTGATGTTTACTTTCACCGTTTCCTTTAGGGAAACTCCTGAGGTAAATAAGTCATATCTCTGAACTTTAATAATAAATCTAAATAAAATGCTGCGCTTTCCACCTCCAGTCGCAATGACTTCTGGGACTTCTAGCGCGAGTTTGGTGCTCAAGTCTGCATCAGTGCGTCCTCGATATCAAGATCACATCCTGGAAGTTTCATGCGTCCTCTGTACTTGCGGTCTTGAGTATTGGAACTGCACTTATGTAGCCGATGATGACGTAACACGAGGTCGCAAGACCGCTGAAGAACGCATATTGAGAAACAGCCATTGTATAACACTGGTTTGTTCTGGAGACAATCCAAAACTAATATTGCTGAAGGGGACTAATAATATTTACCTTAAAATGCATTGAAAATAATTAAAAACTGCTTTTATTCTCGCTGAAATAAAACAGACTCTCTCCAGACGAGAAAATATTATAGGAAATACTGTGAAAAATTCCTGAATCTGTTCAAGATCATTTGGGAAATACTTGAAAAGGAAGAAAACATTCATCTGTCAGACTTGGGCTGTGTTTCGCTAATCTCTCTCTTTGTCTCTATGTTAAAGGCTGAATCTGGTTATGGATCTGAATCCAGTTTGAGGAGACACGGCTCCATGCTGTCCCTCACATCTGCCACCAGCGGATACTCAGCCACCTCCACATCCTCCTTTAAGGTGAAAACACACACACTTACAACATCAATCAGTGCTAATAATAAAAACACCACTGCTTTATAAGTCGATAAACTAGTCTGAACTCAAACAACACTGTACACTAGCTGACAGAAGTCTTGTCGCCTATCCAAGTTTTAGGAACAGCAAATAATAACTTGACTTCTAGTTGATCATTTGGTATCAGAAGGGGCTTATATGAGAGGTAAAGGCCTCTAGATGACGCTTATTTGAGCACAATAAAATATAATCATGCCTTGATTTTGACTGATTTAATTAGGACAGTAAGGTCTGACTTTGCCTAGACTAAAGTCTTGTGACTGAACAGAAATAATGTCCAGTATAGAATATAAAGTCCTGCTGCAGTGGAGACAGAATGAATATTGTGTCCGACTCCATCATGAGCTTGGAGGACTGCATCCACACATCTCAGCACTGACTCACATCACTGATTAATAAAGTCATCTGGAATGGCGAAGAAAGCGTTCCTGCAGGACTCCCAGAGCTCATCAAAAGATTCTTTGGGTTCATCTTCAACGCCTCCTTCATCTTACCCCAGACATGCTCAATAATGTTCATGTCTGGTGACTGGGCTGGCCAATCCTGAAGCAACTTCTTTGCTTTCAGGAGCTTCCTGCTGGAGAATTGTCCCTCAAACTGTGGTTTGTAATGTAATGGGCAGCACAAATGTCTTGATACCTCAGGCTGTTGATGTTACCATCCACTCTGTAACCCCAAACCATGATCTTTCCTTCACCAAACTTGACTGATTTCTGTGAGAATCTTGGCTCCATGTGGGTTCCAGTAGGTCTTCTGCAGTATTGGTGATGATTGAGATGCAGATCAACAGATGATCCATCAGAAAAATCCACCTTATTATTTGTTGCTCGTACAACTGAGGTTGACGACAAGACTTTAATTTAATTTTAACACTTTTTAATATTCATTCTTTTTCCGCTGCACCATGACTTTATATTCCTCACTGTCCTAATTAAATCATTAATAATCAAGGCATGATCATATTTTATTGTCGTCATATTAGCGTAATCTTGAGGCCTTTGCCTTTCATATGAGCCTTTTCTGATACCAAAATGATCAACTATAAGTCAGGTTATTCTTTGCTGTTCCTAAAACTTGAATAGACGACAAGACTTTCATCAGGTAGTGTATATGCATTGAAATTTATTTGGATTTTAAATATTAAGTCACTTAATGTAGTTATTGATAATTATAGTAGCTAAGTTACTATTTAGACAACTTGTATATAAACAATTTTTGAAGTAACTTAGCCAACACGGATTTACAGAAGGGTCACAGTCTGCGGGAGAAGCTTGCAGAGATGGAGACGTTTCGGGATATCTTGTGCAGGCAAGTGGACACGCTGCAGAAATACTTTGATGGCTGCGCTGACGCCGTCAACAAAGACGAGCTCCAGAGAGACAAGAGTGAGTAGACTCCTTTATTTCACAAAGAAACAAACAGTATTTGGATCTATCATGCATTTAAGCCTGTAGTTGGCTGCAGAAGATTATGTGGCTTTCTACGAACGAATACATCATATTTATAATCATTCATTTTTTTTTATAACTTTTACTTTTATTCAGTTTCATAAAAAAAATTGTAACAATGCGAATTTTAAAAAGACAAAAGAAAAAAATCACAACAACAATAAAGAAATTTGAGATGTTTTTTTGATTGTGGTACCAATATAGACCCCTGAGGTACTACTATCTACTTTAAGGTTCCAATATGTACCCTTAACGTACTTATATTTACTTTTAAGGTACCAGTATAGAACCTTGAGGTACTACTATTTGCTTTAAGATACCAATTTGGACACTTTAAGTACTAATATCTACTTTTAAGGTACCAATATGATACTTGAGGTACTATTTTCCTTTTATGTCCCACTTCAGTGACTGCTTTAATACCATTATGGACCCTTTAGGTACTAATAATTACTTTAAGGGTACCAATATACACCCTTGAGGTACTACTATTTACTTTAATGTACCATTGTGGACTCTTTGTGTACTATTACTTACTTTTAGGGTACAAGTACAGAACCTTTAGGTACTAATATTTACTTTTAAGGTACCAATATGATACTTAATGTACTATTTTCCTTTTATGTACCCCACCAGTGACTGCTTTAATACCAATATGGACCCTTTAGGTACTAATGTTTACTTTTAAGGTACTAATATAGACCCTTGAGGTACTACGATTTCATTTTAAGGTACCATAGTGGACCCTTTATGTACTATAATATACTTTTTGGGTGCCAGTACAGACCCTTAAAGTACTAATATTTACTTTTAAGGTACCAATATACACACTTGAGGTACTACCATTTACTTTAAGGTACAACTATTGACCCTTGGGGTAATACTATTTATTTTAAGTTACCAATATGGACCCTTTAAGTATTAATATCTACTTTTAATGTATCAATATGAAGTCTTGAGTTACTAATATCATTCTTTTATGCACCGCTTTAATGCCAGTATGGATTGTTTAGGTATTAGTATAACCTTTTAAGGTACAATAAGGACCCTTAAACTACTAATATATAATTTTAAGGTACCAATATGATTCTTTAGGTACTAATATTTTCCTTTTATGTACTGCATGAGTGATTGCTTTAATAACAACATGGACCCTTTAGGTACCGATATTTACTTTTAAGGTACCAATAGAAACCCTTGAGGTATTACTATTTACTTTAAGGTACCATTGAGGATCCTTTAAGTACTGATATATACATTTAAGCAACCAAAATGATTCTTTATGTACTAATATTTTCCTTTTATGTATCGCTGCAGTGACTGCTTTAATGCCAATATGGACCTTTTAGGTTCCAATATAACATTTTAAGGTACAATACAGACCATTGAGGTACTACTATTTACTTTTAAGGTACCAATATGGATTTTAGAGGTACTAATATTTGCCTTTAATATACCATACCAGTGATTACTTTAATACCAATATGTAGCCTTTAGGTACAAGTATAACCTTTTATGGTACAATATGGACCCTTGAGGTACTAATATTTAATTTAAGCTACCAATATGGATTCTTGAGGATCTAATATTTTGCTTTGTATACCATACCAGTGACTGCTGTTGTACCTTTATCTCTGAGAGTGTGCCATGATGATTTATCTGCTTGTAATCTGTATATAATCATTGCAGACACACTGCTTGCAGAATCAGGTTCTGAAATAATGATTTGTTTTTGCGACGTATATAAAAGTAATGCAGTGTCCGTTTTCTTCACAACTTGTGCATCCCGACTGTGGATGAATGTGTTGTCGCAACACAAGGGCCGGTTGATTCACACAGTTGATCAACTGCTTCTTTTGTTGGTTGCAGTCGTTCCTCTAAATCTCTCTCAGTGTTGTACAGTGTGTGTGTGTGTGTCAGCTCTCAGTATGTGAGTGGGCCGATCTGGGCACCACCAACCGCAGGCCATGAGTTCATACTGACTGTATGTGTGTGTGTGTGTGTGTGTGTGTGTGTATGTGTTTCTTTGACTGTGTGTGTTTGTGTGTGTATCTGTCTGTTTGTGTGTGTGTGTGTGTGTGTGTGTGTGTTTATCTTTGTCTGTCTGTGTGTATCTATTTATTGGTCCATCACTTTGTGTGTGTCTATCTGCATGTGTGCTTTTTGTGCGTTTCAATCTGTCTGTTTGTCTCTCTGTGTGTGTATATCTCTGTTTCTGTGTGTCTCTTTATGTGGTGTGTATCTGTGTATCTGTGTATGTGTGTGTGTGTGTGTGTGTGTGTGTGTGTGTGTGTGTGTGTGTGTGTGTGTGTGTGTGCATGTGTGTTCTCTTCTCAGTCGTGGAGGACGATGAAGACGATTTCCCCACCACTCGCCCTGATGGAGAATTTCTGCATAACAACAACGGCAGCAAGGAGAAGTGTGAGTGTGTGATGCATTACTACACACAGCGTCCGTCTGATGCATTTACACACACACACACACAGCGTCTGTACTGTACTGAGGGAAAACTTCAGCAGCTTTTCCGCTCAATCAGTTCTCTCTGATTCAGCTGGAGGAGACGCTATCGGGGCGCCGCTCACAATCTGAGCACTTTGTCCATTTCATTTACTTCACTGATCCAGTCATTTGGGACTCGCTGTAATGAATTGTGCAGATCTATAACAGACGAGTCAGCATTTGTCCTGTTTCACAGAGTTCTGCTTTGTTTTAATGGAAGTAATATATAGCTGAATGTTGTGTGCTCATCACATCTTTTCTGTTGTAGTATAATGAGACTAATCACATTGTTTTTATTGTGTTGAAATTATATTCAATGTGATGAGCTTTGAATTCATTTCTATTAATAATAATATTAATAATCCTGTATTTTGAAAGATAAAATAGATTATTGAGAACTGAAATTAATATATTTAATTATATCATTAAAATTAAATATATTTTATGTATTTTAAGTTATCTTTCAAAGTTTGGGATAATTAATATAAAAATATATTTGAAATTTGTAATGATTTCTTACAATATTACTGTTTTTTATTTGAAATGGCTCATACAGTTAAAAAATCTTCTGAGAAGGGATTTTTGATATTAATTGTTTACTATATGCAAGATTATGAGAATATATTTATTTCTGTCAAATATGTTTTGACTGGATTAAATTTTTTCATAAATGTCTTTACGCTCTCATGATAATTCAAATATAAAGAAACCAATGAAAATCTCTACAAATAAAATGTAACAGGATGTTTTTATGTGTATACATACCATTTCAAGTAATTATTTCACAGTATTATTAAATTCATAATCAATTAATACAATTATTTTTTAAATTGTAATATTAGTAAGTAAAGTCATTTTTCTAAGTCACTTTTCCTTTTTCAAATTCATTTTTCTAAATCTTTTTCTTTTCATTGTTGGAAGTCATGTTTTTTGTTATTCTTAGTCATTTATCTAAGTCTTTTTTTCATTCTAAGTCATTTTTCTGATCTATTTTTCTAAGTAACTTAGTTTTTCTAATTCATTTTTCTAACTCACTTTTCATTTTTCTTAGTAATTTTTTTCACTTTTGGAAGTCATTTTTCCAAGTCACTTTTCTAAGTCAGTTTTAATTTACATTTTTCTAATTCATTTTTCTAAGTCATTTATTTTTTCATTTTTGGAAGTCATGTTTTTTATTTTTCCTAGTCATTTTTCCAAGTTTTTTTGGAAGTCATTATTCTAATCTATTTTTCTAAGTAAGTTTTCATTTTTCGTTGAAAAAAATTTCATTTCATTATTCATTTTTCTAAGTAATTTTTTTATGTTCTAAGTCATTTTCTATTTTTTTTTTTAAGTCACTTTTCATTTTTCTTAGTAATTTTTTTCATTTTTGGAAGTCATTTTTTCAGAGTCACTTTTCTAAGTCAGTTTTAATTTTAATTTTCATTTTTCTAATGAATTTTTCTAAGTCATATATTTTTTCATTTTTGAAAGTCATTTTGTAGGTAACTTCACTTTTCTGATTAATTTTTCTAAGTCATTTTATTTTCTAAGTATTTTTTTCTAAGTCACTTTTCATTTTTCTTAGTAATTATTTTATTTTTTGAAGTCATTTTTTTATTTTTCTGAGTCACTTTCTAATTCATTTTTCAATTATTCAAAACATTTTATGCAGTCATTTTTGAAAGTCGTTTTTTGTTTTTGTAACATTTTTCCTTTTTCCAAGTTATTTTTCATGCTTGTAAGTCATTCTTTATTTTTGTAAGTAATTTTTTAGTTTTGTAAGTCATTTTGGAAAGTCATTTTTCTAAGTCACTTTTCATTTGTGCAAGTCACTTTGGTTAAAAGCATCTGCTAAATGAATAAATGTAATTTTAAATAATTTTTACATTTACAGGAATTACTGCAAAACAAATGATGAAAAATATAAGCAACTGCTTGTTAACGGGGAATAAACTTACGTTAGTATGGAAGAGATTTGATTGACATTTAAAGGTGCTGTATACAAGTTTTTGACTTTGGCCACCAGCGATTGAGTTTGTTTTGATCCAGGATCCAGGAATGCAATACCCAGTTCAACCACTGGGTGTCAAACTTGCATACTACACCTTTAATTTGATTGTGCCTGATGGTAAATTAATGTCCTGATCTTTTAAAGCCCAAAACATTTCTTCTCTCTCTCTCCATCAGTATTCCAGTGTTTGAGTCATAAAGGCATAAACGGGATCGATTTTAAAGGAGAAGCCATCACGTTCAAGGCGACCACTGCAGGGATCTTGGCCACTCTTTCTCACTGCATCGACCTGATGGTGAAGAGGGAGGACAGCTGGCAGAAGAGGCTGGATAAGGTACGAGACCCGCATCTGTTTTCAGTCCATTTTAAACGAGTTTATACTTTAAAACCAGTACTATTATTAATTTATTATAAAAATATTATCATTAAAGCAATAAGTGGGTTTAGTAAAATATTCTAGTTTCAAAACGAAAAAAGATAAGTTATTTTTCCTTCTTGCAGATTATTTAGCTTAGGCAAAACTCATTTAATTTATATAAATAAATAAATAAACAAACCAACACTACCTGACATGGGTCTTGTCGTTGATCTCAGTTAAAAGAGCAACAAATAATAACTTGACTTCTAGTTGATCATTTAAAGTGTCAGAAGGTGGATTTCTCTGATAAATCATCTGTTGATCTGCATCCCAATCATCACCAATACTGCAGAAGACCTACTGGAACCCACACTGAGCCAAGATTCTCAGAGAAATCAGTCAAGTTTGGTGAAGAAAAAAATCATGGTTTGGGGTTACATTCAGTGTAGGAGCATGTAAAACTGCCAGCGTGCGTGTGTGTGTGCGTGTGTGTGTGCGTGTGTGTACATAATTTGTTTTTGTTTTTTTACTCGTGTTGAAAATGTCAGAGTGTTTTATGTTTAGTAGCTGTTTGCAAGAATATGCAAGGTATGGCTTCCATAAAAATATAATTTCACCGTACAGTTATAAATTAAACGTATTATTTATAAACTTAAAATTTACATAACACAATCACATCTATCTATCTATCATATACAGTTAACAGTATTGTGGAAAAAACAAACAAATTACTAAACTACTAAATCACACAACAGCAGAAAACAGTTAGATGTTATTTTATTATAAAGTTATTTATTATCTAACACAGGTACACTACTATATTAATCACTATTATTAAAATAATGACTGGAAAGTAAAAAAGAAATGCGAAAAAAAATAAACTGATACAGAAATCCGTAAATGCAGTATTAAATAAATTATATTAAATAAATTGATAAAAGTTTGAAAATTTAAAAATATAAATTGAAAAATTACACATTTTATTAAGTCATATTTATTTTTATATTTTATTGTTTATTTAAATCTGTTTTATTTATTACATCTTTTATGATTTTATTTAGTTTTTTTTTATTTTATCTATCTATTTATGCATTTCTAAAAATATTTATTGATTTTCTTTTATTTATTTTTTTGGTTTTTCAAGCTTTGGTCCTCTATACATTCACAAAGGCACAAAATCTGTCACTGGGGTGGGACTGTTTCAAAAGATGCACTTTAGCACTGTACAGGTGGACATTAGCACCTTTAGGGTTTACTTATTATTCCTTTAAGCTTTAATTTTGTAGATTTAAGATACTGTAAGGTGCACGATGAACATTTTAGATAATAAAATTTACCTTTAAGGGCCTGTTAGGAAAAAAAATATACATTTTATAAAGGTACCGCGACGACACAGTAGCTCAGTAGTTAGTACTGTTGCCATACAGTGAGAAGGTCGCTGGTTCGAGTCCCGGCTGGGTCAGTTGGCATTTCTGTGTGGAGTTTGCATGTTCTCCCCGTGTTGGCATGAGTTTCCCCCACAAGTCCAAACACATGCGCTATAGGAGAATTGAATAAGCTAAATTAGCCGTATTGTGTGTGTGTGTGTGTGTGTGAGAATAAGTGTGTATGGGTGTTTTCCACTACTGGGTTGCAGCTATAGTTGGTGGTTCATTCCGCTGTGGCGCCCTCAGATTAATAAAGGCACTAAGCCGAATTAAAAGGTACCACCCCTGTGACAGATTTTGTACCTTTATTTCTGTGTACTGTATGAAATCACTGTACTTCTAGTGCATGCATTGGACTAGAAACGCTATGTTTTGTACTGAAACATCGTGTTTAAAAGTTTGATCAACATTCTAGCAATGCTATCTAATAAATGAACCGCAAACTAACACAAAGCTGACATTTCTACTGCAACAAAAGTCCCTCCATCAGTTGTTAATGTGGTTGTGTGTGTGTCAGAGGTGGAGCTGAAGCGTCTGCTGATGTGTTGCAGTCAGCAGCATTCAGCACAATACTGACACACACACACACACACACACACAATCAGAAGGAGGACACAGTCTGAACAATGGAGCGATACAGCCTCTCGCTCCGGCCAGATCTCATCTACTCACGCCAACACATTAAACCTGAGCACAGCTCAGTGTTTCCACCAGCTCAACTCATTCCTGCTCTCTGGCTTTAATACAGGAGATGGAGAAGAGGAGGAGGGTGGAGGAGGCCTATAAATCTGCCCTGTCCGAACTCAAGAAGAAGTCTCATTTCGGAGGGCCTGATTATGAGGTGGGTTTGCGTTCTTGTGTAGTATTGCCTGTGCAAACTGTGTGGTGTGTAAGCTGTGTGTTTATGTGTGTCCATCAGGAGGGTCCAAACAGCCTAATCAATGAAGACGAGTTTTTTGACGCTGTAGAGGCCGCTCTTGACCGACAGGACAAAATCGAAGAACAGGTACGTCAGTATAGACATCTTATCGTCTTCAATGTTATATCACTATCTTTATTAGCAATTAAAGAGGTTTGCAAGAGAACGAACAAATAAAGTATGATTGTTTAAAGTGATTTGAATCAGGCCTGCACAATATATTGTTTTAACATATATTTAGCATATATATAGTTTCAACAGCAAGTGAATTTTAAACAACTTGGTCACAAACATTTTTAAAGTTGCCATTGTAACAAACATTAAGCTCAGCGCCAGCTTTCCCGGCTAAATGCATATTGCGAGGGCTTAAAGGGTCACGAAACACCAAAACACATGTGTTGAGCTGTTGACAGTCGTATATGTGTCCCACACTGCTAAAAACACTATTAGGACACCTATATTTCACTAAAAAGTGTAAATTGGTTGTTTTTGCGTTATTTTAAGCAAATTCGTACTTCCGGTTTGAAACTAATTTTTGAAGCTGCGTCACGGTCATGACATAATAGCGTGTATTCCAGCGTGCAGACTGGACGTCTGTGCCAGAGTGTGTCTTATTACGTCTTACAGTGTGATGCATTAATGCATGAGTAAGGCTTGGTTCAAACCAATCAGCGCGCTCTATTGTGCAACTTCATTAATATTCATTAGTCACAGTGTTTAGACAACAGAAACGCCACGTTGTGTTGACAAAACAAGTGTGAAGTGTTGCTTTTATAGTTTGCTGCAGTTAAGTTGTTTTAATTTTCTCTCTGTGAGAGCGCAGACTCACGTGTGGATTAACAGTGTACGCGACGCTCGACAACAATAACTTACGTGTCTAAGGAGGATTATTGTTTACCTGAGAGCTGTTCTCATCTGCAAACGCTGACATGCGGATTCGCTTGTAGTCTTCTCTTAATAAAGACGCGGCTCTAATTGCTGGTGATTGTCCTGTCTCTACAGATTTGGTAAGTGAGTGACCAGTGACTCTTTGTTTATTCAGTTTGTTCGAATTGAACAAACTATTGCACCGAGTGTAAACATGTTAGCACCACAACCAAACTTTAACCTCGTGTAGGGTTTTCACCGTATTTTGTGACCGGAATAACACACGCGGCTTTCTGACGCTACCTGCCGAGTGCATCTAAGTTTTCGGAAAATGCTGAGTTTTTTTTCTCTCATTCGCCGTGCGGTATCAAACACTGCATGAAAAATACACGCTTAGAGCAGATCCTCGAATCAAATATCTAGTTTGTCGCGAGGGGCATGAATGAATTCCCTGAATGAAAGACAGTTAAAGTCCACCATTTAAAATTTGGCAAATTATTCGACTACAGATGCCCATGTAAACACAGTTGCGTGCCCAAATAGACACTCCCACACCGTGCCTCTTTTCTTTTTCCGGCACTCCCCCCTAAACAGAGCTGGACACGCCCACTTTTCTGGCTTTTTCCAAAGTAGAGGTGTGAAAACACCCTGCTGAAACGAGGGGGTTTCATGGCCCTTTAAGTGTGTGTGTGTGTGTGTGTGTGTGTGTGTGTGTTTGTTTGGTGCTGTCTATGTTTGTGTATGTGTGTGAATGAGAGACAGTGTGGTGCTGTGTGTCTGTGTGTTTATACAGAGTTTGTTATAGCCTCCCCCAAAATATAACCCTGTGTATGGAAAGCATCGTCAATGCACCGAGATATCGAATTGAAGCAAATCGATGGCATGATTATTGAAACCGAGCCAAACCGTGAGACCAGTATAGGTTCACACCTCTAGTTATTTATATTGAAAATCCTGTACTGTGCATTATTTAAAAAATTCTATCACTGACACAAACTCTGTCTGGCATTTCAATTAGCCTAAACATTATTTAACACTCTTAAACTCTGTGTTAGCAATTTACAACGTTCATTAATTAATAAAAATGTTACCAATAAAATATTAATGTTAACATCAGCATGTAATCAAATCCTAATGATACACTTCTACATAAATCCCAGTGAATATGGTCATTTCTTTATTTCCCCAGTCTCATTGTGAGAAGAGCAGAATACAGAGGAGCAGTTCAGTGCCTTCAGGAGATGTTTTCTCCATCGTGGGCTCTCACCGCTTCGCTGAGAAGGTCAGTTTACTCTTATAATCCTCCTCCTCATCATCATCATCTGCTCATGATCATCCGGGCCAGTTGTTGAGAAAGTTTAATCTGGATCAGAATGATGGGAGTTTGCAATTCAGGATCAGGAAACACATCTTACTTATAGAGTTAGCCCCTCCTCCTCTCTAAAAAACAGCCAATAGGGTTTTGTTTTCCTCTCCGCTCTGCCAGTGAGAGTGGTTGAGCTCAAGCTCTTAAGCAAATGAGAAGGGGCAGGGGCATGTCAGATACTAGAGACTAGATACTATACGTGTCCGAATTCACCTTTTCTATTTTTATTTTAAGGACGGAATAATATGCTCTGCTCCGCAGCGCATGGTCTAACAGGGTTGTGCTTATTCTCTTAATGAGTTCTGGGTGTGTTTTGAGCATATTGCGTATTAAACCAATCAGCGTTTCATCTCACATTCACTTTAAGCGTCAGTTGCGTTGCTCCATGGCACGTTTGCTATTTACTTAGCTGACTTTGTAAGTGTACAAACTGAACACTTCACTAGCGAGAAAACCGTTAAACAGAGCATCTGCAGCGCGATGATAAAGAACGAGCCTCCTCCATTCAGCCTCTTTACTTTACTTTACTTTACTTTTACTCTTTACTCCTTTACTTTCATGGATAAGGAGTACTCACTCCACTGAAGACATCCATTAGCCCACATATTTAATTTCCTATGTTAAGGGGGCGGGGCATGTCAGATACTCGAGAGCATTTGATTGGTCAGAAGATTTGATGAGAAACTGAAGTATGAGGGGAAGTGAATAAAACCCCTTGAAGATAAACTGCTTTATTAAGATTTACAGATATATTGTGAATAAGATTTACATGTTTATATCAGTTTTGTCATTGTTTTGGAGCACACTAGCTTACAGATATTAACACACTGAACACCGTTTTAATTTCTCTATACCTTTAAAAGCGTTTTGAGCAACACAAACTGAAGATTTAACCAAGATCAAAAGCAAGATTGGGTTTTGTGATTCTGAAATCTTCTCTAGAACAATCATTTTTCAAGATTTGATTCAATCCAATGTTTAAAGTCTGATCAGGTGACTTCTGAACCTCTGGCCCGTGCAGACGTCTTCCTCCGTCTCTGGTGTCTGTTTTCCTGCATTTGGTGTCTTTGGGTTTGTTTTCCTCCTGATGTGTCTGCATTTGTCTCCTCTTTTTCACCCGTGTAGCCTCCCTCTCGCCCTCCCTCTCCCTCATCTTCTGCTGTAGTCTTCACTTCCTCTCTCCACGAGCACAGATTCAGTGCTGAGGTAACAGCGCCCTCTAGCACACCCACACAAAAGCGATCAAGAGGGTATCAAGACATGCCTTAATATAATGTAAATGATGCCTCTGACAAATATGTAGATAAAAACACGACATATTTACGTTTTTCAAAAAGATGCTCCTTTATTTTGGACCAATGTTTTCGATGGTGTAAGTTGGTTGCTCCGTCTCTAAAGCGTCCTCATATCAATCCCCATTATTCATTCATTCATTTTCTTGTCAGCTTAGTCCCCTCATTAATCCGGGGTCGCCACAGCGGAATGAACCGCCAACTTATCCAGCACGTTTTTACGCAGCGGATGCCCTTCCAGCCGCAACCCCGTAAGGACTAACATTTAAGGTGTAGTATATAAGTTTGCTCCCCAGTGGTTGAACCAGGTATTGCACTCCTGGATCAAAACACGTTCAGTAAGCGCAGGTTGCCAGATTGACGAAATCAACAATAGTGTGCCTGACTATTGAGCCTAAAGGCTGATTTAAATCGTGTTCCATATAAAAGCAACAGCACAAGATAGAAGGAATATTCTCCATATTAAAAGAAAATTTTGTTTTAATCAACACTTAAAATTGATATATTAGAAACGGTTTCTATTTCTTGCAACTGAACAACAGAAAACTGACAATGATCTCCTCAGGTGCACCTTTGTTTAGTGTTAAATGCTAATAATATAAGTTTGAATGTCATTTTACAGGACTTTAATTGCCATATTACTGAAAGCAGCAGCAGATAGTTCACTTCAGATCTTGAAAATAAAATAAACTGTTTGATATTGAACTTTAGAACTGCGACTCAGTGCAAATCAACACATATATAGATTATAAACCTTACCATTTCGTTGGAGTGCAGTGAGTGCACTATCCTGTGCTTCTGAATGGCTGTATTTACATTTGTCATGTTTCATCTGGTGCAAACAACTAAATTGTTTATCACTTCAAGTCTCCTCACATGTCATGTTGTTAGGAAACGGGGTTACAGTGTAACCTGCTCACCTAACGTTTACGTTCATAATACTTATATTATTTGCTAATTAATAATCACCTCATGTGGAAAGCATGTTTTCAAAGCAGAATATCTGACTTCAGCATTGTTTTTCAGATAAACAAGAATGTTCACTGAGCATGTTTCTTAAACATCTGCAAACATATTATGGTATTTTTATGCTTTAGAAGAGTCAAAAACTAACATACAGCACCTTTAAATCTTGTATGTGATTGCATACGCTAGAGACTGAGCAACCAAATTACATCAATGAAATCAGTGGCGTTATATTTAGGCATGCATTTACATTTTATTAAGGCAGGGATTCTCAACTGGTAGACCGTGGCCCACTAGTGGGCCTCCGCGGTCCTGCTTAAAATTAACTTAATTATTGTACTATAATTATTTGATTATTAAATACGTGTTATATAAAAATGATTGGTGTAATGACTCGGTGCAAAAAGAGCCTCACTGTAAAACACAGACTTAACCGTGGCTGCACTTCCAACCGCTGCAGGTCAAATAGGACTACATGCTGAGCTGTATAAAGCAAACCGCTGCGCAAATGTAAAGGTAACTGTTCGCACCAGTTCGCGCGTGCCTCATGCCTGCGACTCGTATCAGAGTCTCACATCTTCGTTGATACACAAACTAACCGTGCTCTCTTTGTGTGAATTCTGTAAAATATCAACATAGTTTTGCAAATGAGTGTTTTATAACGCGAGTGTGAGTGTTTTAAAACAAACGTGTGCCCATACAGGAGGATCTAGCGAGACTCGTGGTGTTTTAGTGAACAGCTGTTTACTCAGCAAACTCCAATAATATCCTAAAAACCCCACCGTCTTCAGATCGATGTGTTTTAACAGATTTAGAGAGTTTTTACTGTATTTTACTTTTGTTTATTTTTAATGGTTATGATTGTAATAAGTTTCACGGCCCTTTGGCTGCCGGGAAGAAGGAGGCGTAGAACCGACGCCGTTTTAAAATGATTTATTAATAACAGGGACGGCAGCTACTCATGTAGACTGCCGTCTAAACCAAAACAAAACAAACTGAAAGCAAAAGTAAAACAATATGTCCAGGCCCGGTCCTCTCTCGGCTTCCTCTGCCGTTGTTCCTCCTTTTATGGTCCAGAGCTCCTTCCGTGGGATCGGAGGCAGGTGCGCATCGCAGGTGTATCCACTTACGCGGCGACCTCACTCCGTTCCCACGGCTCTCGGCCACGCCCCCTCACCACATACCCCTATCTCCCATCACAGGCCGGGGGCACCCTGTGGCTGTGCATACTCCTGGAGGGGCGGGAGGGAGGGTGTGTGGGGGGAGGGAGGAGGTTTGGCGCCACAGCACCCGCGAGACAGAGTAGACCCAGAAAGGGGAGAAAGGAAAAAGAAAAAGAAATTGGGGTTCGGTTCTCCAGACACGCTGCCACTCGGTCCTCCACCAGCTGAGAGATGCGACGACGTGCTGGGAGCCCTGTGGAGGAATCTATCCACCCGTCCGTCTTCTGGCGTCCGGCGGCAGTTCTCCTGGCTTGCTGGCTGGCTCTCTGGTCTCCTGCTCCGCTCCCGCTTCGGTGGATGGATGCAGGCTCTGGCATCATGGCGGATCGCGCCGACTCCCCCGGGTTCTATGGGATGGCTCCCTTCAGCACTTTCCCCTCCGGTGGTGAGCCCTGCGTCCCCTGCTCCTCCCCATGCTGGGAGACGGCAGCAGGCAGATCCTTTCCTCGCCAGCCTCAGGCCGCCCCCGCACTCTGGGCAGATGAACAGGTTTCTCACCCACTCGGGTTAACTCCCAAACACTCGCCCCCTCTCTCAGCAGCGAGGGCATCTGGACAACGCGTCCCTCCTTCTCCCGGGTTTCGGCACCACTGTAATAAGGTTCACGGCCCTTTGGCCGCCGGGAAGAAGGAGGCGGAGAACCGACGCCGTTTTAAAATGATTTATTAATAACAGGGACAGCAGCTCCTCACGGAGACTGCCGTCTAAACCAAAACAAATGAACGGCAGCTCCTCACGGAGACTGCCGTCAAACTGAAAGCAAAAGTAAAACTATATGCCCGGGCCCGGTCCTCTCTCGCCTTCCACTGCCATCGGTCCTCCTTTTATGGTCCAGAGCTCCTTCCATGGGATCCTAGGCAGGTGCCCACCGCAGGTGTATCCACTTACGCGGTGGCCTCACTCCGTTCCCACGGCTCTCAGCCACGCCCCCTCGCCACAATGATCAATAGATGATTAGCAGTCAGTCCAATTCAAAGCAGCAGCTTTTTTTGTCATCTCCTGTTGTCCTGTCAGGTTCATTTATTAAAGAAAAGGCCCAAATACTCTGCAGTTGTGCAAAATACCTGAAGAATTCAGGAGCTTTGAATCTGTGTGTGTTTAAAAAAAATAATAAAATTTATATTATCATATATTCTATATTTAATTTTATATATGTTATATTTGTTTTTTTGTATATATATATAATGCTGTAAAAAAATAAGTTAATAATAGTATAACAGGTCCGTAGCCAGCTTGGTAAAAGAGGTGGTACTTTTTTTTCTCAAAAAGTGGACCTTTTTGCAGTTATACACCCCATTTTCTATTTAATTATGAGATTTAAATACATTTTAAACTATTTTAGCTGAATTAGCTTGTCGTATGGTCATCATAACCACACTTTTTGATGTACCAAAAATATTTCCTAGATTTAGAATAAAGAAATATGAAAAAAAGACATTTTTAAGGGTGCTTTCACACCTACACTTTTGTTTCAGAACCTGTCTCGTTTGCCCAGTTGGCGCGGTCGTTTGGCATATGTGAAACCACCAATCGCGCTCTGATGTGCGCCAAATCAATCGATCTGAGATTGCTTGACTGAGGTGGTCTCGGCTCGATTAAAACAAATTCTGGAGCGTATCCATTGTAGTGAGAAAGCAATACGATCCGAGCCCGGTTATATGGGCCTGTATAAGCAAACAAATGTTAAGAATACGCATTTTCTCTAGACAGTCAGTTTAAGAAAAAATGTCAGATGTGGGCCTTCAAAAAATCTTTGGAGAAGGAGGTGGGCCCCGAAATGAAAAAGGTTGAGAACCCCTGTATTAAGGCATACATGTCTTGATACCCAGGGTTCTCTTTAAAGCATGAGATGCATGTTACATCGCTAATGCACTGGGAAACATTGGCTGTTACACATCCTAGTGAGCTGACTACTTAGTCAGCATTATGCATAATGGCTAAAACTGCTGGAAGTGCACTAGCAGTCCTATTACGTTCTTTACACTTTCAGATTGTTTAAGTGATATTGATGTTTGGGAATAAAAAGATCTGCAAGTGTACAAAGCACAAAGTTGGGCTGCATGATACTGGGAAAATATACACTGAGTATTGTGATTGAATATTTCCCACGATATACCAGATAGTTTAAATTTATATTAAACAATTCATCTATTTCTTCTGATTCAGTTAATTCTAATTCACAATTATTGAGAACATTATTAATAAATGAAAACCTGTGCACATATTGTGATTATTATTGACTTGTCATTTTTTACCATCTTGTCTTGACTCCCGCCATTATTATTATTTTTTTATTTGTTTGTTAGTTTATTTGATGGATTATTTATTTATTTATTTTATTTTAGCTCTAGAGTTACTTTTTCTAGCCAATAGCAGAACAGCACCTACTTTGGAGGCAGGTATAAAGATAGCAAGGCCTCATCTGATTGGTTAAACCTGGATAAACAGCCTATGCATGCAACACACAGATGCTCGGCACAAAATACATTTCATTCCTCACATCGCTTTGTCATATGTATATTTTATATACTTTTTATCATGATCATTTTTCAATATCGTCTTTATCAGAATATCTTCAATTTGGATCATTTCTGCTTGCGTTGTTGTGTTAGTAAAGCGTAATTGTCATGTCCAATAGCTGCTGCATGACAGCTTATTATACTGATACACATTTATGTAGTCTGTTTACATTCACACACACAACACAAATCATGCTATATATATAAATTGGCTGTTTAGTCATTTTTTGAGATAATTGCATTAAAATACATAAAATACCAGTTGTCTCACTGTATCTCTCTCAATAATCTCTTTGTAAGATGCTGTGCATGAAATTGCATGTTCAATATGTTTCTATAATTCCTTTAAATCAGTGTTTCTGGTCATATTAATAAAGATTTATGAGTGCATGTACTTAGTTATTGTAAATAAATGACTAAACACATGCCTTTAAATCGCTTTAGTTTTGACTGCTTGCATATATAAATAGATTGCATTTCCAAATATCTTGTTTGAGCAATATGATCTTGTTTTTATTATTATTACTACAGCATACAATTCAATTCGGTGAGGAACGAATAATCTAATTAGCCTTTAAATGGCTGTTTAGGCTTTATTTTTAGGCTGCAAATGTGACACGACCTGGTAATTTAATACCCGTAATAACATTTACAGCCGTCAAATCAATAAATCACCCTGTGTTTGGGGCAGGTGGAGGAGATGGTCCAGAATCACATGACCTACTCGCTGCAGGACGTCGGAGGAGACGCAAACTGGCAACTCGTGGTGGAAGAAGGAGAGATGAAGGTGAACATCATAACATTGGCTTATCTTATACTTGAGTGCTTGATTCTGATTGGCTGATGACCATTCTGAGGTGTGTCGTTATTTTCAGATAAAGTAGTTCCGGCAGGTTTGGAGCACATTGCAGCTCCATATCACTATGCTGAGCTATTTTACAGCTACAGCAGTCAAAAATCACATCAAAACACAACTGAAGGCTTTGGAGGAGATGTGAAAGACATTAGTCTTACACACAGGAGCGATTTGAGGACAAAAAGCTGACAAATGTCTGAAATGCAACATCTGAACAGTGGATTTAGAGTATAAGCAGAATAATGCACTCCAGACCGGTGAATTATTAGAAAATAATGCACACCCAAGTTGTCATCGTCTATTATTTTCTTACATCGTTCTCTGTCAATCAGTAATTTCCGAGGCTTATATGGATCTAAAACTAGAGTATACATGATATTATAGGAAAATAAACATCAGCATTGGCCAGAAATGGAATATTATGCCTGTATGCATACATGAATGTTGATTATGAGCCTGCAAATCTTACTTGTCTCCATAAGTGTTTGCAATAAGACCAGGTCAGCAGTCAAACATGCTTATAAACACTTTGATTAAATTCTAGGAAGAAACTACAGCTTATTGGCAATGACATTTTTAAAATGACACTTAAAAATGTAACTTAAAAAAACACACAGACAAAATACAAACCTAAAATTTGTTTTAACATGTCAGCTTATTTTATATATATATATATATCATGACTTTTTAAAACCCAATCGATAGTGTGTGTTTTAGCTGTCACACACCAGCTCACTCACAGTTGTGTGTTTGTGTCAGGTTTACCGGAGAGAAGTGGAGGAGAACGGGATCGTGCTGGATCCACTGAAGGCCACACACTGCGTTAAAGGCGTCACGGGACATGAAGTCTGCCAATACTTTTGGGACACAGACGTCCGTAATGATTGGGAGAGTGAGTATTAATACACACGCACAAAACATGTTCATTCATTCATTTTCCTTCTGTTTAGTCCCTTATATATGAAGGGTTGCCACAGCGGAATGAACCGCCAACTATTCCAGCATATGTTTTACGCAGCGGATGCTTTTCCAGCTGCAACCCAGTACTCTGAAACACCCATACAAACACACACACACACAGCTCATCCAATTCCTCTATAGCGCATGTGTTTGGACTGTAGGGAAACCGGAGCACCCGGAGGAAACCCACTTTTTTGTCAAGTCAGGTAATTTACTGGTAATTTTACTACTTCTCATTGGGGAAGATTGCCAGAACAATATTTCCGAAATTTTCAAAAACAACTTGTTCAAGCATTTTTTTTTTCTTTTCAGTAATTTACCATTAATATTCTGGAATAATCTGTGTATGTATGAAGGCGGCTATCAAAGCTTAAAGATCACCTATTGGCAAGATCTGAATAAAAAGATAAATGCAATAATGGGATTGAATCTGGAATGTAACTTTAAAACTATGTACCTGGCAATTTATTCTTCAAAAATACCAAAAAAAAAAAAAAAAAAAATATATATATATATATATACATATATATAAAATATTATATTATATTATAAATATATATTATAAATATATATATATATATATATATATATATATATATATATAAATTTATATATTATATATATATTTATATAAATAATATAAAAATATATAAAAATATATATATATATATATATATTTATATATATAATATAAATAAAAAAAAATATATATATATATATATATATATATATATATATATATATATATATATATATATATATATATAAGAAAGAAGTGGAAGATCCTCCATCTGTTGGTGAATGGCATGATATTGTAAAAGACGTGTGTGATATGGAAGCACTGTCCCTTTTCTGAAGACAACAATCCTAAAAACTTTCTTCATACTGGGGAAAGCAGGGTGTCTGTGGGGTCTTACAAAGTATTAAAAGTTAATAAGTCAATTATGAGAAAATTAAGTCCCTTAAAAAGCCTTAATCGCGGTTGTTAATCGAGGTCTTAAATTTTGTTCACAAGTGTTTGACTCCAAAAAACCATAAATATATTTATTTTTCTCCTAATATTAACAACAGCGCGCTCGACCCACGTGATTGGTCCGGGCCGGGGCATTTCCGTCCCAGCTCCTCCGTCTAGGTGATGTCACGTGTATAACGTAAAACAGGGTCATAAGAAGTAACACATTTAAAAAGCAACTCATGTAAACACCTTAATCTTATTATTGTCTTAATTAGATTAAAGCTAATACTTCGATTACTGATGTCCATGTGAATGTAGTCATTGAATCATTAATAAATACTTGCCACTTGCTTCATTTTTAAATGGATCTGACTTTTTAAATGAATTGTTTGTAGAAGGCTTAAAATACTATGAAATACCCATGATATTGAAGTATGATATTAAATTATAAAGTCTAAATTTATCTGTGAATCCTGTGAATTTTTATTGTCTTCTTCAAATATTTCCCAAATGATGTTGAACAGATTCAGGAATTTTGCACAGTATTTCCTCTAACATTTTTCATCTATAGAAAGTCTTATTTGTTTTATTTCAACTAGACTAAAAGCAGTTTTTAATTTTTTAAATGCATTTTAAGGTCAATATTATTAGCCCCCTTAAGCTTTATTTGTTTTGGATTTTCTCCAGAACAAACCACTGTTATATAATGACTTGCCTGATTACCCTAACTTTACCCTAATTAACCTAGTTAAGCCTTTAAATATCACTTTAAGCTGTATAGAAGTGTATTGAAGAATATCTAGTCTAATATTATTCACTGTCATCATGGCAAAGATAAAATAAATCAGTTATTAGAAATGAGTTAATAAAACTATTATGATTAGAAATGTGTTGAAAATATATAAAATAAATCAATCTCAACAAAAGGATGATAAATTCTGTCCTCAACTGTACATCTTTAAGCATAGCATTGACCTTTTGTGTGGCATGAACATGTGAGTCTATTTATAATCCTGTAAGGCTCTGCTCTGAATAATATCATTAATAATGGAGACCATCATCTGATGAGTAAGCTCAGTTTGGTCTGTGTAAGCATCATACACTCTTACAACAATTTTACATGCTTTAATATGATGACTTACCAGAAGACTTTCAGGATAATGTCTGCCCAGAAAATTTAGCCGTACCTGCTGATGGTCACTGTCCTGATTAATAGTGATGTATCATGGGTAGAATTACATCTCATCCATCTTTACTGCCGTGTTTCAGCCTTTAGTTGGTTTATTTTTAATGCTAGACAGATACCACAACACATGCTGGCTCAGTGGCTACCACTGCTGCTTCACAGCAAGAAGGTTGCTGGTTCGAGTCCCGGCTGGGTTAGTTGGCATTTCTGTGTGGAGTTTGCATGTTCTCCCCGTGTTGGCGAGGGTTTACTTCGGGTGCTCCGGTTTCCCCCACAGTCCAAACATATGCGCTATAGGTGAACTGAATAAACTAAATTGGCCATAGTGTGTGTGTGTGTGTGTGTGTGTGTGTGTGTGTGTGTGTGTGTGTGTGTGTGTGTGTGTGTGTGTGTGTGTGTGTGTGTGTGTGTGTGTGTGTGTGTGTGTGTGTGTGTGTGTGTGTGTGTGTGTGTGTGTGTGTGTGTGTGTGTCTGTAAATATGAGAGCATATGGGTGTTTCCCAGTACTGGGTTGTGGCAGGAAGGGCATCTGCTATGTAACACATATGCTGAAATAAATGGTGGTTCATTCCGCTGAAATAGAGACTAAGCCGAAGGAGAATGAATAAATGAGATGCCACAAATAATATATTTTTAAAAAGAAATAAAAACAACATGCCTACATAAACACTTTATTAATTTATATGATGAGAAAAATGTAAATGGTAAATTTTATTTTAAAATGATCTAAATCAAAAATATTAATTAATAAATATTAATAAATAAAGCAACATGTTTACATGTTTTTCTTTTACTTTCTGTGTAACATATATATTTTTAGATATAAAAACAAAAGTGTTTAGATACTGATGAAAGATCTCATTTTTGTCTGAAACAGACAGAATATTTGTTATATCTTTCAAACGATATGAGCATATTTAAAAATAAAATTGAATAAATAAAGTAAAAAACAAAAACAATCAGTTGTCAATCTCGTGGCATGTTTTTTTGGTTTTACTTGGCATATTTTACATGCACAAACATCTTTTTTTATTATTAGATTTTGTAATACATAAACACATTTACATGTAGTTTATTGTCCAAGAAACACAACAAATGTGCTCAAATGCAAAATATAAATGCAAATTTACAGGAATTCAAATGTTTCCCATATTGTTTTAAAGATATTAAAAAATATGTTAGGAGTTGTTGAACTTACAGAGCTGGGTGCACCTCTAAAAAGATCTAAAGGACTCAGACATGGCGCCGAATGAATCTACACTGTTTTTCAGCCTTCCTAAAGCACACAAACACAGCTAATATCTTAATAAAATACATGTTAGCCATTTAGCAACAAAACTAGAGTCGCCGCGCAGACAGAAGCCCTGGCCATGACGCAAATTCACATTTATTGTGAAGCTAATTTGGCGAGTAAACTCAAAATGTTCACGCATCTGTTTACGCATGAATCACACAATTTATTTGCGCATGACACGTCTGGTGTGAACACAGCATTAGGATTTTACTTGACATGTTTTATTCAGTACACAAATGGCTTTATTTATTAGATTTTGTAATACACAAACACATTCACATGTAGTTTATTGTCCAACAAATGTGTTTATATGCAAAATATAAATACAAATTTACAGGTATTCAAACTCTGCCCATATTGTTTTGAAGATATTAAAAAATATATCCGTTCTGAACAAAATCTACATCTTACATCAGTATCTAAACATGTTTATTTTTACATCTAAACATAAATGTTACGAAAAGAGTTTCTTTAAATTATTATTGTCCCTCTAGAAAACAAATACTCCAATTTTTCAAGGTTTATTAAATTATTATTTTAATTGTTACTATTTTAACTACTTTAGTAAAATAATAGGAATTTAGGGCGTACTCACACTATGTACAGTTGCCTTGAACCGGGCCGAAGCACGCTTGTCCCCCCCAACACCAACTGCCAACTGACCCAAACCAGCTGCCTTCTTGCTGTGGGGCCACAGTGCTAACCATTGAGCTACTGTGTCGCCGGTCTAATATTCAGTTCAAGTTTACTTGTATAGCGCTTTTCACAATAATAATGGTCCCAAAGCAGCTTCACAAAAGGCGCACATCATTACATTCCAGTCCAAATCAGAAAGGTTAAAGAGCTGTGTAAAGGCTTGGCCGTATCTAAACGTAATCTTCATCTGTGTCTGCAGCTACTGTAGAAAACTTCAACATTGTGGAGACGTTGTCCGATAACGCCATCATCATCTACCAGACTCATAAGGTGAGGAGAGCGAATAAGTTTACACTGCTGTGTGTAATGCGTCCCCTCATGATCATTTCCCTGACGGACTGTTGTGTGTGTGTTCAGAGAGTGTGGCCGGCGTCCCAGAGAGATGTCTTATATCTGTCTGCCATCCGCAAGATTATGGCCAATAATGAGAACGACCCAGACACGTGGCTCGTCTGCAACTTCTCCGTCGAACACGACAACGCCCAGGTGAGTCTGGTCTCCATGGTGACCGCTGCATTTGTGCCGTCTGTTTTGTTTTTTTTAAATATATTTTTATTGAACATTTTTTTGTGCAAAAACAGGTCAGAAAATTATATTGAGTGTAAAGATAACAGAAGTTTACATACACTGTATAAAAGGCACATAACCATTTAAAAAAGGTCAGATGTTAATGTGACTAAACTTTTCCTCTTTTAGGTAAGTTAGGATGATCAAATGTGTTTCTGTTCTGCTTAATAGCAGAATAATGAGAGAGATTTTGTTTGAGAAATTGTTATAACTTTTCTTAAAAGTCAAGTTTACAGACAATAAGATTATTCTGCCTGTGAAAGAGCTCAGATGATGATGTCAAGGTTTTGGAAGTTTCTGATTGGCTAATTGACAACATTTGAGTTAATTAAAGGCACAACTGTAGAATAGTATTGAAGGAAAAGCTCAAACACACTGCTTCCTTGTGTGACAACATGGGACAATCAACAAGCCAGAATCAACAACAAAAGCCAGATTACAATTTGCTAAATTTGGAGACATGTCCTGTGCTCTGATGAACTAAGATTGAACTGTTTGGCCATAATGAGCAGTGTTACATTTGGAGGACAAAGGGGAAAGCCTACAAGCCTAGAAACACCATCCCAACTGTGAAGTATGGGGGCGGCAGCATCATGTTGTGGGGCTGTTTTGCTGCAGGAGCGACTGGTCCACTTCACAGCATAGATGGCGTCATGAAGAAAGAACATTATGGAGAAATACTGAAGCAACATCTCAAGACATCAGCCAGGAAATTACAACTTGGCCACAAATGGGTCTTCCAAACAGACCATGACCCTAAGCATACTGCCAAACTAGTTCAACTGTGCTTTAAGGACAACAGAGTGAATGTTTTGGAGTGGCCATCACAAAGCCCTGATCTCAATCCTATAGAAAATGTGTGGGCAGAGTTAAAAAGCTTTTTCAACTATTGTGAGAAGCTTATGGAAGGAGTCCCAAAACATTTGACTAAAGTTATACAGATTAAAAGCAAAGCTAAAATAATACCAAGGAAATGTGTGTGAATATTTGACTGTCTAGAAATTAATAAGAAAATTCTCAAAATAAAGTTCTCTCATTATTCGGGGCATTTAGCAAATGTAAATGATTTAGGTAATCCTAACGGACCTAAAAAAGTAAACGTTTAGCATGATTTACCATCACACATTTTTAAAAATGGTTATGTTCCTTATTTATAGTGTATGTAAAATTCTGGTTTCAACTGTATAAGTATTTGTGTGTGTATGAATATGTAATAAATATATTTTATCTTTATTTTATACTATTAATTGTTTAGTTACTAGTCATTTTTGCCATGCATTAAAATAGAGCACGATTATGTATTGATAATATATAGAATTTTAATCTGATGTGTGTATGTAGTATCTAAATATGATGAATTTTGATTTAGATATGATATGGTGAATATTCATATTTTTTGAAAAATGCTTATGCAAATTCACCAATTTACATTATGGTATATGTAATTATTAAGAAGAGGGTGTAGTTAGCATGTAGGCTAGAAAATGACAATTCTGTAATATTTAGATTTATGGCTGATGGTATGTTTTAATGCTTCTGTCTTTCCATAGCCAAACAACAGATGCGTTCGAGCTAAAATCAACATAGCGATGATCTGCCAGACGCTGGTCAGTCCACCAGAGGGAGACAAAGAGATCAGCAGAGACAACATCACATGCAAAATCACATACGTGGCCAACGGTGAGACTCGCTGCTCAAATAGTCTTAAAACACCGAAAGAGAGATTTTAATAATGCAGAAATATTAATATATACAGTTATGTGAAAAGGCCAGGATCATTTTGTCCTGATGATAGTAAAACTGGAATTCAATAGGGTGTCCTTAGAGTTATTAGCCCTCCTGTTAAATTAAATTTTTTTCATATGTCTTCCACCAATTTTTTATTATTTTTTTATTTATTTATTTTTTTAATTTTGCCCTCAACTGTATACAAGTTATAATAACGCTGAATGAATGTTTTGTGAACGCAGTGAATCCGGGTGGCTGGGCTCCTGCATCTGTCCTGAGGGCCGTCGCTAAGCGAGAATATCCCAAATTCCTCAAGCGCTTCACTTCCTACGTCCAGGAGAAAACTGCCGGCAAACCCATCCTCTTCTGAGCACAGGTACACCACATGTATTAACTACACCTGACTACAGAAGTGGAAAATGTATTGGGTAAAAATAATTAATGATGCCTTGTTGAATTATTAAAAATGTTTGCACACCCTTACAACGTCAAATCTGCATTATTTATATAATAATTCAATGTACTGGAGTGCATTATTGCACTTATACTCTCTGGTTCCCACAGCTTTATATTTTTATTTAATTTGTTTGTTATGCAGTTTATTATTATTGTTTTGTAATTAGTTATATTAACAGCTGTTATTATATGCATTAAATTATCTTTTATCTTTATTGCTGTAATTATTATATCAGATTGTAACATGTACTAGGTAATATGTGGGTATTGTAATCAATTTTACTTTAATTAGTTTTTTTTATTATTGCATTATTGTGAAATGTAACTAGATTTTTTTTCCACATTAAGTTTGTCATTTTAGTTTATTATTGTTATTATTATTATTATTATTTAAATATTTATTTTGTCTTTCCTAATATTTTTAATATATTTATTTATACGTAAATAATATATTCATAAATTATGTCTTTAAACTCACCGGCCACTTTATTAGGTACACCTGTCCAACTGCTTGTCAAACAAATTTCTAATCAGCCAATCACATGGCAGCAACTCAATGCATTTAGGCATGCAGACATGGTCAAGACGATCTGCTGCAGTTCAAAGCGAGCATCAGAATGGGGAAGAAAGGGGATTTAAGTGACTTTGAATGTGGCATGGTTGTTGGTCTGGGCTGGTCTGAGTATTTCAGAAACTGCTGATCTACTGGGATGTTCACGCACAACCATCTGTAGGGTTTACAGAGAATGACAAAATAGGTAACAGTTACTCAAAAAGCACTCGCTACAACCAAGCTCTGCTGAAGAGCATCTCTGAACACACAACACGTCCAACCTTGAGGCAGATGGGCTACAGCAGCAGAAGACCACACCGGGTGCCGCTCCTGTCAGCTAAGAACAGGAAACTGAGGCTACAATTCACACAGACTCACCAAAACTGGACAATAGAAGATTGGAAAAACGTTGCTGCTCTGATGAGTCTCCATTTCTGCTGACACATTCAGATGGTCGAGTCAGAATTTGGCATCAACGACATGAAAGCATGAATCCATCCTGCCTTGTATCAGCGGTTCAGGCTGGTGGTGGTAGTGTAACGGGGGGTCCAACCCGGTATACCCGGTGTACCTAATAAAGTGGCCAGTGAATCTATGTGTGCTGTATTTTATTTTTTTATTTTTTTATTAATTGGCTTTGTTGCAACATGTATTGTTCATTTTTCAACATGTGACCTCCCAGAAAATGCTAACGGAATTGATTATTGTGAAATGTAATTGTATTTTTGTGTTGTTCGCAGTTTCCCGGTTGAGCTGTCCGTGTGTCTGATCTCCAGCTCTGCACTCCAGCGCCCTCTAGTGAACAGAAAAACACACTGCGCCTCTTTTTTCCAGACTGTTCTGAATCTGCTGCAAAAGTTCATGTAGCGCCACACTACTTCACACAGCAGAGGACGCACCACAGATATCTAGATTCATACAAATATAAGTCAATGTATGTATGTAAGTACGTCAGATGGCAGGTTTATATATAAATATATATATATATATATATAACGGGAGAGATTTTGAGACAGGCTCTGTTTTAGTCCTGATTATTAGTTGTTTTTTTTTCTTTTTGAACAAGCATTTCAGCTTTGCTTTCATTGTCTGCGTATATTCGCCAACGTTCAGATTGTTCCGGCGTGTTTGTAAATGTCGATGTTTCGCCGTCTCTTTTATGAAGCGCAGAATGAGTCGCTGAAGAAGAGATGAAACGAACGATTGTTTTCTTTTGTTAATCCGTGTCTGAAACACCGTAGCACAAACCCAGATCGATCATAACAGGCAAAAAACACAATTTAATACGTCAGATTATTTGTGTATATAAGTTCATTATCGCTTTAGATGGTCAGTCGACGCTTTAATCTGACTAATTCAACTCCATATGCCTTAGCAAGTGTGTGTGCGTGCGTGAGTGTGTGTATGTGTGCGCGACTCCAAACACTTCTAGAAAAGTGCCTCATTATTGATCTTGCTGATCGCCCACATCCATTATATCAGAACGACTTTATACGAAAAGAAAACATTTCACGACGATTTCTTACCTCGTATTATTTAAATGTGATTTTGCAATCAGATTGTGTCATCAGAATAGTGGCATCTTATTGGAGGAGCCCTGATGCCAATCAAATTTTTTCTGTCCAATAGGAGGATGCCGTTCGAATTCGGGGGCATAGATGTAGATTTACGTAGTTAGTTGAGTTTGTTTGTTCGTTTATTTATTCGCTTCTTTTCTTGGTTTAAATTTGTACAACGTAAATTTATTCGTACAACGTAAAAATCTAAATCACAAACTATTTGAAACAATCGAACAAGGCACAAACAATTTTCATCTTGTTTTTTTGAGATCCGGGAAAAGATTCGGTAAATAAATTTCGGAATTTTTTTTTTTTCTGAAAAAAAAAAACAATTTAAATGCTTAACATTTTAAGTCTCGTTTTTTGAAAATATGTTAATGTTACGTGATTTTATGCTTAAACCACAACAAATTGCATATTCTTCGAATTATGTAAACACATTTTTATTATATTAAATAAATAAAATTAATTAGAAAGTATAAAGCTAGTGTATTTTTTAACTCGGTATTTTAAGCATAAACTCCCTTAATTTTCATGCATTTTTCAAAATCTTGATTTAAAACGTATCGTTATTTATCAGAAAACAAGACGAAAATACTAAGACAATAAATTTAATTGCGACGTTATTTTTTTTTTTGCTAAACATTTTCATTAGTCAAACCTACCCACAAAAGACTGTTAAATACAAAGTAGTGGACGACGAATAGCCAAACGTAGAGCAGATGCACGATCACAACATCCGAGTATTTACGGTAACATTTCAACTAGATGCGATTTTTCAAAACGGTAAACTCGTACAACTTAAACATTCCAATCGCACTCGCTGAACCCGAATGTACGAAACCACCAGAGCGAAACCGTAAACAAAACTGAATGTGTTACTCTAAAATAAAACAGCTGTTTACTGATTGGACTGTTTTTGGTGGAATCGGCCAATCAGGAGAGAGTTGAGTGGAATTAGTCAATCAGGAGAGAGTCGTATTAAAATGGCAAATCAGAAGATAGTTGGGTTGTATGGGCTAATCAGGAGAGAGTTTTGCAAAATTAGCCAATCAGGAGAGATCTGTGTGGAATTAGCCAATCAGGAGAGAGTTGTGCTTGTGACGCGCGTCGCTCTAATACAGTCTAGTGTTTTCTTAGTTGCATTGGCACTGAATGTAATGTCATTGGGTTCAGATGTTTTCGTGTACATACGTGTCACTCGAGGTGTCAGGATGAACATGTACTGTGAATAGAGGGCCCAAACGCTGCCCTGTTTAGAGAGGAATAAAATGATTGACATCTTTCTGCACTCTCTGACTCTTGTGCTCGTTATATTTGTCTAATTAATGTTGGTTTGCTTGAAGTTTAGTTTTTTCTCTCATTTTTAAGTTTTCTAATTATTATTTTGTGTTATTGAGATGCTTTTATTAATACTTTTATTATAATTCAGATTATTTTAGAAATGTTTTATTTTTTCACTTTAAGTTTTAAATATTTTAGGGTTTTTTATTTGTATATTAATTTTAAATATTAATTTTGCCTTTATTTTTGTGTGTTATTAAGATGCTGTTATAGCTTTTTATTTATTTGACATGTTTGATTTATATTTCATTTACAATATTTTAGGTTTTATTGTATATTAATTTTAAATATTAATTTTGCCTTTGAGATGACCGTCAAAAATGCTGCCTAAGCAAATATTTTCAAATACATTTATTTATATATAAATGATATTTCTATAATTTACAAATATAATATATTTATTTAAATATATTAATCTTTGCACGCTCTAGCTGCAATTAAATCAATAAGTATCATATACATTTTATAATCATTGTTATATTATTATTATTATTATTAATAATAATAATTATATAAATTATATTTTAATATATTTGTTTTCATTCATTTTCCTTCAGCTCAGTCCCACAGTGTAATGTACTGTCAACTTATCCAGCATTTGTTTCACACAGCGGATGCCCTTCCAGCTGTAACCCAGTACTGGAAAACACCCATACACTCATTCACACACATACACTACAGCCAATTCATTCATCGATTCCCTTTATAGCATGTGTTTGGACTGTGGGGGAGTCCGGAGCAAACCTACGCCAACACAGGGAGAACATCCAAACTCCACACGGAAATGCCAACTGACCCAGCTGGGACTCGTTCCAGGGACCTTCTTGCTGTGAGGTGGCAGTGCTAACCTCTGAGCCATGCAAAGCTTTGCTCCCGCCCTAATCAGACACACCTGATCCAACTAATCAAGGTGTTCAAGACTACTTGATTATTTGGATCAGCTGTGTTAGAATAGGGTTGGAGCAAAGCTGTGCAGAGCTGCGGCCCTCCAGGAACTGACTTTGAGTTGCAATAAAGCACAACTAAACACTTGTTTTGTTTATTATAAATAGCTGCATAATCAAAATATCCATAAAGTGTCATTTATATGTGAGATCTGATGTAACTTGAGCAAATATATTTGCATATGACCACCTCTCGAATAAAAAAAAAAATGATATTCAAATATTGTTTTACTGTTAGTTGATAACCGGGGTTGTCAAGTCACCCCTTTTAAACGTTGCTGCAGGTTTAATGGTATACACTAAAAATGGCTAGTATTATAATATTGCACATTCAGTCAATATTAAAACTGGTGGTAGATGACTTCTGTATAAAAGAGAAACTGTCTTTGAGTTATTAATACATTTAGGTTTTGAAAATATTGATTAATACTAAATACAGATTACAGTTTAGGCAACAGATGACTTATACAATGCATTGTGTAACGCTTGACATGTGACAATGAGTGACATATTTTGTTTTCTCATTTGGATTCGGGTTACTGGTTTGTTATTAGCTACTTTTGATTTGTTTCTGGCATTAGTTTGTTTTAAATAGCTGGTAATGGCAACCCCCATGTTAGCGCGCGCGCCTAATGACTAGCACCTGCAACACAAGAGTCCCTTCAGAAGCAAATAAAAGCGGTTAATGTTATTGTTTTTCATCTATTACATTTTTTTTCATCAAATAAAGCCCGTGATGTTGAGTTCGCAAAGAAAGCTTGTTATTTGATAATTGAAGCAGCCCGTTGTTTGTGGATCTAACAGCTAATGCTGCGTGGCTAAGGTAAGTTTAGGCATTGTACAATGCAGTCATGTAACGTTATCGAGCTATCAGGGTAATTTATTGATGGGAGGGAGTTTTCTCCTTTGGATTCGGGTTACGGGTTTGTTTACAGCTACCTTTGACTGATTTCTGGCGTTATTTTGTTTTAGATCTGGCAAGCTAACCCTTTCCTTAATGACTACTAACTTAGCACCTGTTCAATCAGAGTCTCTCCAGAAGCAAATAAAAGCGATTATTATTATCGTTTTACATCTTTTTCCAAAACCAAATTAAACATAATGTGATGTTGAGTTCGCAAAGAAAGTTTGTTATTTGAAAAATGAAGCAGCGCTTGTTTCTGGATCTAACCGGGATCCAACCGCTACGCTAGAGGATAAGGTACGTTAATGAAGTTCTCCAAATAGCAACAATCCCTCGCTGAATCTTTCAAGCAAACATACCCAACTGGTCCCGAGAGACACATAAAATAATAAAGGCAGTGCGGGTGTTTATTGCTAAAGATTTGCAGCTGTTTTCGGTGATTGGAGATGTGGGCTTTTGTCATCTTATAAAAGCACTCGATCCGCTTTACAGACTACCGTCTCGCATTTATCAGCACTGAGATAATGAAGATGGTTTATTTATGTTTACTGAAGTACAAATATGTTTATTTGAAATGGCCAATTTATCTTTATTAACTTCACATGTGTTTATTTTCAAAGTGAAGGATTTGATGTGTTCCCCAGTTTGTACATGGGCTACCAGCAGCTGTGAGATTTCAGTGTTCATTTGTTTTTATACAATACACTAGGAACTACTGTACTTTTACTTGGCTTTTAAGTAAAACAAAATGAGTATTGCAATGAATCAATTTAAATTTTTTTTTTCTCCTTAACCTCTTACTGTTCCTATTGCCTATAGAATAAAATAAAAAACACACGTGTCAAGCCATGAGAACCAAACCGAAAACTGTGTTAAAAAACCAAGGTATGTAATGAACCGTGGGCTAACTGTATTGTTGCTTCCCTAGTTAATATAGATCTGTGTGTCATCAGCATAACAATGATATCCAATCCCAAATTTTTGCTGGATTTGACCAAAAGGCAATATATAAATACTAAAGAGAATTGGACCAAGTACTGACCATATTAACTCCATACGATTCCTTTTACAGCACTGATTACTGTAATTTAGTGAAAATAAAATCTGTTAAATTGACTTAAGCATTCATTTAGTTGTTCAAGTGTAAAACGAGATGAAAGATCGTTTAAACAAGCAGGCGAGTTAAGAAACTCAATTGAAAATACTGTGGTAAAATACATTTCCATCTTTTCAGTTCAGCAGTTTCTGAAATATTCAGAGCAGCCCGTCTGGTACCAACAACCATGCCACGTTCAAAGTCACTTAAATCGCCTTTCTTCCTCATTATGATGCTCACTTTGAGCTGCAGCAGATCGTCTTGACCATGTCTACATGCCTAAATGCATCGAGTTCCTGCCATGTGATTGGCTGATTAGAAATTTGCGTTAACGAGCAGTTGGACAGGTGTACCTAATAAAGTGGCCGGTGAGTGTAGAACTGTATTGTTTTAATTATAGTCTGCAAAAAACCCTAAAGCACTAAAATGCGAATAACACTGTTAATGTTTATTTTTCTCCAGTTTGAAGCATTACGATCATCATCGTTTAACAAAAATACTGAGACACTTAAAAAATATGCAGATCTGATCAATAGTTTAGCGGAGAAAACACGAGAAAGCAACATTAGAAGACACAGATATGGCCATATCAGCACTCTCTATAGCCTGAAAGTGAGAGGACTTGCTTTTGTCGAGAAAAGCTGAAGCACTTTACAGTCATGAATTCACAAAAACAACACACTCGGACTCGCAAAACATCAACATTCACACTGAGAAATCAGCATTATTCATGTACAGAGCACCTCGTTTGGTAAAGTCCGTCAGTGGAGTTTGTCACAGTGAGTTTTGGCGTGATTAATTGAACACGAGACACTTAAATATACATTCATAATTAGTGTGACGCTCTCAACAGCAGCAAACCGCAGAAATCACCCATCAAACGCTCATCAGAGAAGTCTGAAAACATCTGCCTGTGTGCTGAAACACCATCTCATATTCCTCGAGCGCTTAAAAAACATGGCCGGGTTTAGTCTTTATCGGCTTGTAGCAGATTTTGGCTTTTAGTGCAAAACTAAACTCTCAGATTCAGTCAGACGAGCGAAGATTAATTCACTCGTGTCGTCGCTGCCTTGTGAAAATCAGGCACAAGTCAAAGGTAAAGCATTAGTATTTCCCACAATTCCTGCTGAGATTGACTGTAGAGCTCCTTCTGAAGGCAGTGTGTGCAGAGGCCCTGAGAACAAACAGGAGAAACACCATTTCCCAGAATTCCCTGATGCATCATGACGCTTCCTTCGGCTGCCCTTCGGGCTCTCTGAGATTGACCTTTGACCTGCAGGAGATAGAGAAACAAATGTTAGAGTGTAAACTAAGGCTGACCGGTTTCTACTAAGTAGGTCGGTACAGGTCAACTTTGTCAAGCTTGTGTCTCCACTGCCTAATGGTTCCAATGATACACTTTTGGTGTGCGTGGTGTACGACAAAGACTCAGTTGATGTCACTAGCTTGAAGACATGTCTACAATGAAGCTGTACGGGTCGTTCACATATCATATGAGAAGCACTTCTCACAAAACAGATGCTTTAAACTAGGGTTGGGCTGATAGACGATGCCATCGTCCATCGCCGATGGCTGACAAACTTCACGATGCTGAGCTGGCATCACGATCCATCGCCCGCCCCACATTTATATTAATATATATCTTATTATTTGCATGTCATCTTAATAGCAATAACGGTGTTTTCATGAGCTGTGTTAAATTTCACATATAGCTGCCGCTTGCACGGCTGACAACATCGTGAGCATTAAATAAAGGACTATACAGCACCTCTCATGCTTAAAAGGTGTAGATTCAGTGGAAACCGCTATTACCTGCAAACCCCGTCCTACAGACTTTACAGTGAATGGCTTTAGTCATTTTCATAGCGGACTTGAAGCCACTGGAAGTCTTTTATCCACTCTTGGTCAAGTGTAAATGGTGGATTAACATTCAGCACATGATCACTAATGAGATGTGCCATTATTAGTAACTGTAGGTAAATCTGTCAGTGTTATTTTCATTCTCTCATCTTTAGCGCTTCACATTTTCGCGGTTGTAGCTCCTGTCATTTGTAGGCAGGAAGGCATTGACTGAGTGATTGACAGCTGATATTACCCAATCATTCACGTTCAGTTAGAGCAGTGGGCCAATAAGAAGAGCACAAAGGCGGGGCAAGCATTGGAGGCTTTTTACTACAGCAAGTTCACATAACAACTGTTTATCTGTTCCGGAGCGCTGCGTTTGGCGTTTATAGGTGCAAAGATGCATTCTGCATAAATGTCTCCTAAATCCGCGCACGCGGTGAGGATTTTGCAGTGAAAATGTATGCACTCGCCCACATGCTTCCACATATTTTTTAAGGTCACAAAGATAAATTTTCAGGCGCATATGCGACCAAAACGGTCGAGCCCTAGCATATTTACTTGTTATTATTACCTCATAATAATAATAATAATAAAATGAGGAAGTTATCATCAATCACAATACAAACTAGATTCTTAAAGTTTGAGGACAAACTTTGAGGCTGGCTTGTGAAAGCCTGATGGTAATAGTTTATTTAGTTTAAACAGTTTTAAAAAGTATGAAAAGATGATAGATAGATAGATAGATAGATAGATAGATAGATAGATAGATAGATAGATAGATAGATAGATAGATGATAGATAGATAGATAGATAGATAGATAGATAGATAGATAGATAGATAGATAGATAGATAGATAGATAGATAGATAGAGTGCTAGCATGAGTTAAACAAGCCAACCCCCGCTTCTCTAAGATGTTCTGATACTAAGATATAGCTGCTGTTAAATCGTTGCTAGGTTAGTCTGTTTTGTTGCTATGGAGTTGATTGACAGTTTAGACTGATGATGTATCAAAGCTTCTTGCCAGTAGGAACAGTTAAAAGCAACACATGTCTCTATCACACTGCAGCATGACGATATCATTCTGAACCTCTATAATGGCAGTCTATGGGACCGTTGCTAGGGTGCCGTATTTGGTTGTTAGGGGTGTGGCTAGAAAGTTCAAAGCTCATCAGTTATTGGTAGTTTGGTAGTCAGGTAGTCAGGAGTTAAATGAGCCCAGTTAAAAGTCTGTGTGACAGTTTCATGTAGAGTTTTGAGCTCACAAAGTTTGACCCAATGTAAAGTCAATGAGAGTCTTTTGCAGTGGAAGTCTACGGGACAGTTTCTAGGGTCCCAAAAGTGGTTGCTAGAGTGTGGCCAGAAAGTTTAAAGCTCATCAGTTATTGGCAGTTAGGTAGTCTGAGTTAAATGAGCCCAGTTATAAGTCTGTAGGACAGTCTGATGCAGAGTTATGAGGTCACAAACTTTGATCCAATGTTAAGTCAATGGGATTTTTATGACCGTCCCAGAACGTTTTTCAGAAAACCGAAAGTCGGATCAGTCGGAAAAGATATAGCAACCCGAGTAAGACCAGTTTGGAGGTCTGGTGTGAGTTTGGTGGTCATAGCTTGAAAGCTCTAAGAAGAGATAGAGTTTAATTTTTAGTCTCAGAAGAAAAATAGGATAACAATAGTCTGGCTTGCTACACAAGCCAGCCTAATTACAGTGAACTCCAAACAAACTCTCGTCTCCTCCATCAGCTGTGGGAAAAGCCATTATCCTGACACAGGCTTGTTCACGCCAGTCCCGCGGAAAACAGTGATTGACAGGTGTCATTTGTGTGTAACTTTAATGGTTTGGTTATGGGTAAAGCAAAGAACATGTGGGTCAGGTGGTGAAAACGGTAGGCTTCAATTAATTAATTCGTTATGAATTAATTGATATTTAACAACCACCCCTCGCCTACAAAAACAATGCAATCGTCCATTGCGATGTTTCACATTAGACATCGTACGATGGTAAATTGGTCAACATCGCCCATCCCTACTTTATACTAGGGCTTCACGATTAATCGAAAAAAGATCACAATCTAGATTCGACCCTACACATGATCCTAATTCAGCTTATCTATGATTCAGCCAATTATATTTTCAAGGTCAAGAGAAAAGAAAAGGTGGCTGCAGAAGTCCTCACAGCAACATTGACACCCTTAAATGCGGTGCTCGCGGCGACCCAAGTTCGATTCCGCCTTGTGGTCCTATGCTGATCCTTCCCCTCTCTCTGCTCCCATGCTTTCCTGTCAATTCTCTACTGTCCTATCAAATAAAGGTGAAACCCCCTAAAAAATAATGATAAAAAAAGTGTCACATACTGTATTTATAAGGTTTAATTCACCCAAAATGTCATTTCTGTCTTCATGCAATGATGTATTGACAGTTGCGAAATATCACATGAGCTGACGCACTGTTTGTTCACTGCCGAGAAAGCGCCTCGATGTAAATGATGCCTACTTTATTGAACACAACCTGCATAGGCTGTGAAGAACAGGTAATGAAGTTGTAAATGACGTTCAGTTTGTTGCACAGAGCGATGGTTTGAGGGTCGTGCAGGAGGTTTGATTTGAATATATGCGTTTATTCTCACAATGACAGCAGCCATGAGCCGCACTCGGAAGTGAAAGTGAAACCTGTGTGCACATGAATTAAATGATCATATCGCATTTTACAGTTATGATTACGACAAGCATTTGATTTGTTTTTCATCCATAGCAAACACAGAGTTGTAGGCACAACCCTAGCCTATATATAATGGAAATATAATGGTCTAATAATGCTAACAATGACAGATGACAAGCACATGTCTCAAACATAATAAATCAACTTCATAATTATGAATATTTATATTCTGATCTCATCATTTTACAGTGAATTAACAAACAGGACATATTAAAAGTCTGTTCATTTCCACCATAATACAAAATTTAGCACTTTAAGCAACAGTAGACCTTTACACAAGCCTAATATTATTATAGTTTTACCATGTTTGAGAATTAACAATAATAGGCTAATCATCATATTAATCTTCATTTTACATTTACCGAGTCGTGAGAAAATCGTTTTTAAGCAAAAAAAAAATCGTGATTCACATTTTTGCCAGAGTAGTGTAGCCCTACTTTATACACACAAACACTTGCGTATGAATGTTCATCACAGTGTGTGTGTGTTGTACCTGTTGTGGGTCATGTGACTCTGGACAAGGTGTCCGGCGGCGAGGGCAGCCATCAGTGAAAGTTCTCCTGCTAGAACTGAAGCGCAGACGATCCGCGCCAGAGTCCGAGAGTTCTCACCAGGACACTGAACACTGGCACCGTCAACACCCAACATCTGCGCGCACACACACACACACACACACACACACATAACATCAGCTCCATCTGCTCTGCTCATTCAGTCATACTCAGTGTGTGTGTGTGTTTGTGTGTGAGAGAGAGAGAGAGACACAGGGCAGAGTTTGCGAATGTGTGTGTGTGTGTGTGTGTGAGAGACAGAGAGAGAGTTAAAAAGCGTGTGTGTGTGTGTGTGTGTGTGTATACCTGTAAACATGCGTGTTGAGCAGGCAGGCCGGTTCCTCCCCCGATAGTGCCCAGCTCTAATGAAGGCATAGTGCAGGACACATACAGATCCTCTCCACTCGTCCCCACACACTCCATCAGTGTGATACAGTTACTGCTACCCACCGTCTGCGCAGGATCCTGCACACACACACACACACACACACACACATATCAGGATAATATAGTTTTTGAGCTGGTTAGACTGATCAATAAACACGACCAGCAGGTGACAGCCTTAATGAGGGACTGACTGAATCATACATGCAAACGATTCATTCACAACAACTGATTCATCTTAAAATGAAGCGGATCATTCAAAAACATGACGTATGATGCATGATTTGGTGCTCAGAGACACAAATGTTCTCTTCTGGCTTTCTTTGAACTATTTTATTGAAAAACAAAATGTTAAAAAAGTCAATACTGTGTCGACTAACTAAATGAACATTACAGTATGGTTATACGTGTATTTTCTGCTTCATAACTTCATTAATAGGCTTCTAATAAGCTTCATTACTCAGTCGATGCTCTCAATCCAGGGGTGGCCGAACTTTTAAAGGGCCAAAAACCAAATTTCGTTAAGCTGCGAGCCAAAGATGAATATAGCAAACTATTTTACATTAAACAACCCTGCATTTTGTTTGGAAATGAAAATCGGGTTTACATCAGAACTCGACGTCAGACCAACGTCAATGTCCAACCTAAAAACAACCAAATATCTACATCTAATGATGTCACAGCTTGACGTTGTGTGGACGTTACCACTTTGACGTCTATCAGATGTTGGACTTTGGTTGCCATACCTGATGAATAACTGTCAGTATTTGACGTCAATATGATGTTGGTTTAAGATGTTGGCTCGACATTGGATTTTGTTCACTTTCTAACAACATAAAAATCAACCAAATATCAACGTCATTTGATGTCATTATTGGATATCAAAATAACTCCTTAGGCACTGGCTAGACGTTGAATTTTGGTCACCTGACATCACAACCTTAATCTAACCTAATATTAACGTCTTATAACGTGTGTCTGCTTGGCAAAAACTAAATGCACTACAGAATGTTACGTTTACACACACATGCACAAATTACATGTAAACTTTATTCAGTACTTTTGAAAAGACTACTTTTACTCATATTTTGAGTAATATTTACAACAGATACTTTTACTCTACTTGCACTACATTTTTAGGCAAGTACTAGTACTTTTACTTGAGTATGATTTTTCAGTACTCTCTCCACCACTGTCTGACTAAAACAGGGGTCGGCAACCCAAAAATGTTGAAAGAGTCATATTGGACCAAAAAAAACAAAAAACAAATATGTTTGGAGCCGCAAAAAATGTAAAGCCTTATATAAGCCAAACACATGCTGTATGTATCTATAGTAGTTATATTAGCCTACTATAAAAATGACTAAGTTGGCTACAAATAGATAATGAGCCTTCATGATTAAATAGCCACTGAAATCAGGTGGTTGGTGTTGATTTCGTTGTCATTTAAACACTTCAGCACAGCCTCTGGTCTTTCAGTGGTATTAATTTGATCATTTCTTCTTGCGGCCCATCAGAGTTCACATACCTGCATAAAAGCGCGTTGAATATCGGTCACATCACAGGCAATTGAGTATGCTGACAGTGAATTAATGTCCTTGGTTTGCTGATCGGTGATGTTACCTGCCATTTTAATAGCCCTTTCCTTCACTGTCTTAGCGGAGAGAGGTATATCTTTAATTTTTTGTATTATCTTGGTTTTGTTTTTGAAGTCTGCAAATAGGTGTTTTAATATGCTGATGAATGACTCCTTCATGTAGTCACCATCTGTGAACGGTTTTCCATGCTTTATTTTCTCCCGGTTTGTTTACAACAGCCACCTGCCTGGCATCCCGCCCTGCTGATAGAAACCTGTGTCGCAGGCTATGACGCAAATCTTCGTTGACAGAAATGTTGAAATTAAATATTAATTCTACACACTTTTACAGCATTTGAAAACGTTAAAAATGTTTGTCCTCCTATAGAAATCATATTAAAACAAAAATATATACTAACCTTCCCCATCTTTTTGAACATTTTTGAAAAAACTTCGGAGAGCCACAAGGGCAGCGCTAAAGAGCCACATGCGGCTCTAGACCCGCGGCTTGCTGACCCCTGGTCTAAGATTATAAATAAAAGAGTTTTTGGAATATCAAGTGAACTTGAAAATGAATAATGCATCGCACATTGAGTGAGATGTCTGACTAGGGCTTTTGAGTAGATGGTAAGTGTTAGGATTGGTTAATAATCCATCTCTTGTGCATTTTTCTCTTCTAGCATAACATTTGTTGGTGAATTATAAACAATATGATCAGGAATACAGTCAGTATTATTAGCCTCCTGTTCATTTATTTCTTTTTCAAGTAGTTCCCAAATGATGTTTAACAGAGCAAGGAATATTTCACAGTATTTGCTATGATATTTTTTTTGTCTGGAGAAAGTCTTTGTTTATTTTGGCTAGAATAAAAGCAGTTTTTCTTTCAAACCATTTTAAGGTCAATATTTTTAGGCCCTTTAAGCAATATTTGTTTGTGATTGTCTACAGAACAAACCACTGTTATACAACAACTTTCCTAATTAATTACCCTAATTAACCCTTTAAATGTCACTTTAAGCTGTATGGAAGTAGTCAAAATAGTCAGATATTATGTGCTGTCATCATGGCAAAGATAAAATAAATCAGTTATTAGAAATAAGTCATTAAAACTATCATATTTAGAAATCTGTTAAGGAAATCTGCTCTCCGTTAACCACTTAAACTCTGCTGGTATTTGGGGATTTCCGCCTGGATTTTGCCTACCCCAATTTAAAAGCTTACCAAATCCACATAAAGAGGTGTAAAGGCAAAGATTTGGTATCATTTTAAAGAAAACCCTTTGAATTTTCATAAAACAATATTGAAAGTGTTTAAAATAACTGTATATGTCATCTGTGTTATAATAAACACCTAAAAAAAGAGCCGCGCTTTTTGAAATTTTTTTATAAACTGTCGAGTGTATCTTTTAGGTTGTGTTTGGTCTAGCGTGCTGTAATTAATGTTGGTGGTTCCTGCACATGTCTGTAATCATAGGAAAAAAGAAACATGTCTCCACCATAATCTATGCAAAAGTTTTTGTATTCCAACTAATGAGAGGTGCTGTACAAGCCACAGGGAGCGATCATTGTTTTCATATTTCACTATTCTTTTGTTTGATCAAACATAATTCACTGTGTTTGGAGCACGTCAGACATATAAAAGGATTACTTATGCACATCAGCTCAAAAACAGAGGAGAATGGCCCTGAAGCGCACAGCATAAGGTAAGAGATGACAGCTGTCTGTGCTATCTGGGGCTGCTTATTGATCATGAATGTATCGTTTACATTTCTGCGCCATGGAAACACCGCGATTCATTCAACAACTGTTTGGCATATGAATATAATTCAGTAAAAAGAATGCTAGAACTGTATGAGCACCGGCAAGAGCTTTCATTTAAGCTATAACTTGTGCATGTGTCATATAATAAAATATGAAAATGAACCAATGTTCAATACCCAGCTCAGGTATCCAAAATACTGTGTATTTAAGTGTAAAAAACTTTTATACAGTAGAATAAAAACCAAAGTGATGCATATGTGCATAAAATATAGATTCTACACTTTCAAACGAAAACACTTACGGGGGTTTGGTGCAACGCTAGTTCTTTAAATCTGAAAGCGAAAGTCGATGACGTCAGAGTTTAAGTGGTTAAACAGAAATTAGAAGAAATAATATACAGGAGGGCTAATAACACTGTGTGTTTTATTTAATAGAGTTTGTTAGTTGTCATGCTGTCTCTAAAGCTGCAACACACACCTGTCCGCAGGCGATGTAAATAGCAGTCACGATGTTTGCAGCATGAGCGTTGAATCCCCCGATACTTCCAGCCATCGCTGAGCCCACCAGATTCTTACTGATGTTCAGCTCCACCAGAGCGGCTGTGCTGCTCTTCAACACCTGCAAACAGCATTACATTATAGCAATACAGCACTTTAATCCAGAAGAACAATGAGCCCTTTTCACATCTGTGTGTTTCTCAGCAGCAGAACTCGTCATAGTTGGTAAATTCAGAGCGCAGGGAATGGGGGAGTACAACTAATTATTATTTTACACTCCTATTAGCTGAACTAATGACAGAAAAACTCCATGATGGTGTTATCAAGACTTTCAGAAAGAGGAAAACAATAGTGCAAGACTGATAATGGCAGATAGAGGAGAGAATAGTGTCAGATTTACTGTCCTGCCTTGCATAAGCAGTAATTCGTCCTTTTGTAATTAATGCAAAGATGATATACTACATAGATAAATACATATAATTGTTCATATGTCATAATAAATCAAAATATTAAAAACTTCCAAGGATTTAAGATGCTGATGAGCGTTAAACACGTCATTACAGTCATGTGAAAAGGATCCATCAATGTAAAACATGTTGATTATTGTTTTCTGGCGCCCCCTAGAGGCAGTTTCTGACCTCTTTGACCACTCGTGCCGGTATGACGGCTTCACACACTGTGGATTTGCCTCTGCCGTGGATCCAGTTGACAGCAGCTGGTTTTTTATCAGTGCAGTAGTTTCCACTGACGGCTAACAGGCGCATGTCAGGATAACGCTCCTGAAGTCTGCCGAGAGCCTGCTCTGTTCCCTGCACACACAAAACAACAGAACTGATCAGAGTTATATCAAGTAGAGCGGCACAGTTTATCATTTCAGCATCAATATTGCAATATGTGAATCTGCAATAGTCACATCGCAGGATCTGCAATGTCATGTTGGGATTAATATAACATCACCTACTCGAATTGGTTCTGACTGTGTGAAAGATTTTCATTTAAATCCATTTAAGGCCTGTGACTAATAATTCAAGCCAATTTGGTCACAAGAAATTAATAAAAGGGCATCTGCAGATTTCTATTTCTAATTTTGAATACTTTAACGAAGATGAATAGTGTTTAATTATACAATGAAGACTATACAGCGTTTATTTACATGTGATTGTTGCGTTTCTAAACCTAAATTAGTGCATCTCTAATTGTGTTGTATTGTTTTATTTTATTGTTGCACTTTTTTTTTCTTTAAATGTTCAAAATAAAGTCTAAATATTGGCCAAATATTGATATGCACATCAGTGTATCAATTACTGTAGGAAAAATATAAACCCAGCTCTGCTACCTTTGACAGCATGTTCATGCCCATGGCGTCTCCGGTCTGAGACTGAAAGCGGATGTACAGATTCCTCCCAGCCAAACTGACCTGCAGCCGGTCCAGACGTGCAAACCTGAAACACACATACACACACGGTTATTTTAGAGCTGGAGTTTCAAGAACTCGAGCAGTGCTATATAAGGTTGACCTCTGACCTGCTGGTGTGATCGAAGGCCTGTTTGATCTCTGTAAACCCCTCTGAACTCTCCAACCAGCCCTTAACCTCTGCAGCGCGACACGCAGATGGCATCTGAACCACCGGCCCGCGAGTCATTCCATCCGCAAGAACGCGACTGCTCACACCGCCCGATAACTGCACGCACAAACAAACACACACAACACAGTCAGACAGAAGCATTTAGAGGAAGAGTAGAGAAAGACAAAAAAACTAACAAATGTGCAAAAAAAAAAAAAAAATGAAAATAAAAAATTGTCTGGCCAAACCAAACCAAGAAAAAATTTTTAAAAAATGTGCAAAAATACAAAAATATTTTTTTAAATGTAGGAAAAAAAGTAAAAAATTATAAAAAAAAAAAAAGTTAAAAAAAAGTAAAAAAAATATAAAAACAGAATTGACAAAATAATCAAGTAAAAAAGCATAGAATAAATTATCAAAAAATCTAACAAAAAATTTATTGGAAATAATTAAGAGAAAAATGGAAACAGAACAAGTAAACAAATAAATTAATAACAAACAGTAACCAAAATGAAAAATCCAAAAACACTGAACAAAAGAATAAATGAAAAATAAAACAATGAAAAAAAAAACATGGAAAAAATTCAAAATGCACAACAAAAGTGCCAAGAAAATTATAAATTAATTTGCTAAATATAAAATTAAACAAAATATAAATGTACAAATAAAATAAGAAAACGAATTAAAATAACAAAAGACATTCAATATTTAATCAACACCGGAATACAAAACGTATAGGAATGAACTAAACTGAGAACAAATCAATAACAAACTAAACCGAGAACAGATAAAGGAATGAAAATGAATGTACACACAAACTAAATTGAGAGCAGATTAATAATCAAATGTTCGACTCACTGTGACGGCTCTGCATCCTCGGTTAGTGCTGGCCACTAAACAGCCTTCAGTTGTTGCCATAGGAACATGGAATTCTTTCCCGTCCAATAGAAGCGGTCCGGCCACACCCACTGGCACAGGCACATAGCCAATCACATTCTCACAGTTGCTCCCAACCACCTGAGAACAAGAAAACCGCATTAAAGCTCCACATCCTCACACAAATCCACTGACGAGCCCAGCCGTAAACAGTACCTTTGAGTAATCGTAGTGTTTGTAAGGCAGATTCTCAAGAGCTGAAGAGTCCGGGAGTTTGCCAGAGAGCATTTCCCTGCGTATGGCCACACCTCGCTCTGGACTCTCCATCACTGCTTCCAGACGGTATCCCAGAATGCCTCTGGACTCCACTAACGCCATCACCTCAGCATTGCTCAGGAATCCAGCACCTCTCTGTGGAGAACAGAAAGCAGGGTTCACACTTTAAGCCAAATTCACTGACTGAAAAGCTGAATTTCCATGAATATATGTTGGTGTGTTGTCACATTACGTTTAGACAAAGCTTGACTGAAAGTTGAGATTTAATTACCTTACTTAAATCAAGGGGCTTGGCAATCTTTTGGATTAGATTACAACATTAATACAACATTGATTAATACATAAAATAATAACACGTTTTCGCTAATCAAGCTCTCTCACTTTCCTTCCACAGAGGAACGAACCACCAACTACTCTGGCATATGTTTTATGCAGGGGACGCCCTTACAAACGTATTTACACCAATTTACATGTTTTAAAATAAATGACTAAAGGGTTACAGATGCAAAAAAAAACGCAAATAGTAAATGAAATTGAAAAAGTAAATAGCTCGCAGTCGCAAGCTAATGTTAATTACATACATTTTGACCATTTATACCAACTAAAGACGCCAGTGCACTTTAAACCAAATCTAAAAAAAGAACAGAAATTATCTGATTTCAAACAAAATCCAGCCAAAACCAAGTTCTTTTTGAACTTGTTTTGGTAGTTCAAATTAGCCCACCAAAGTGAATGTTTCGGGGTAGTTTGTTTTGGTCCTAAACACCTTTGAGCTATGCAATTGGTGGTTTTGTTTTGGAGCTCTGCCTTTTTAAATGTGTTTCAGAATCAAACAGGAGGAAAATATCTAGGGGTGTCGAAATTAATTGTTTCTTCAATGCACCGCGATGCAGACATGGACAATTCAGTATCGGATCAGTAATATTTTTTTCAGTTTATTCATGACAATTTGCTTTTGTATAATATTGTTGGTATTATTATTATTAATTATATGCATATTTATATTTGTTATATTAAAAACAAGCTTATATTTGTCCACCTGTCAAGTTTTGGACTGTATGGAGCATAAGGACATGTTTGGATATAACTCAGTTTTTTGACCACACTTCATTATTATTGTTCATTTATTCGTTTGCTGGAAATTAGAACAGAATTTAGAAATATTTTTTTAAACGAATCTTTGCTCTTAACAAACTTAATTAATTATGTAGGCTGATGGATGCCTTGTATGTACAACACCGTTTCCTTATCCATGAAAGAGAGAATAAGAAAGTGAAAGTAAAAGCTGATTGGAGGAGGCTCATTCTTTATTTTCGTGCTGCAGATGGTTTGTTTAACTGTTTTCTCGCTAGTGAAGCGTTCAGTTGTTACATTTACAATGTCTGCCTAGTAAATAGCGAATGTGCCATGGCACGACGCAACTTACTTTTAAGCTGCGGTCACACTGAACTTTTCTCCCATAGAGTTCCATTCATACGCACTCGATCGCGTCAGACCGGAAACGCAAGGTCGTACGTCAAGTTTCGCAGATCGCTGCGTTGGAAAGTTCAAGCTTGGTAAACTCTGATCTGCGAAATCGCATCACTTGACTGCGTTAGACCAATCGAGGAACAAAACATGACCTCTCTGGACAGAAATTTGAAATATGGACCAATCTCTTGCTTTTTTAATGTTTAATCATCTTGTTTAATCTCGCACCTCTTCGCAAACTCAAACTCTAGTGTGTAGCTTTAAAGGGAATGGGAGAAGAGACTCTGATTGGATTATTCTCAAAATACACCCATAACTCATTAAGAGAATAAACACAATCCTGCTAGACCATGCGCCACAGTTCAGAGCGTAATTTTCCATCTCAAAATAGCAAAATTGGATTTAGACATGCCCTTAATGCTTTTGCGCCCTGAACTTTACACTTTGCGCCTAGATCGTTAAAATAGAGCCCTAAGAGTTTCACACTCCAGTTGAAAAGCACAACTGCATCACGCCACATCTGATAAAGCTCTAAACATTGCTCCATTCAGTGTCTGTTCACGACAAATATAAAGCAATGTGACATGCCGCTGTGTTGTTTGTCCGATATTTATGAAACCGTTCTTCTCTTTCAGATGCATTAAGGCTTGTGCGATGTGTTTTCGCAAGATGGTTGTTGTGTTTAGACACATTTAAAACCCTGCCTCTTGCAGCTCGCGAATGTGTTCGAAAACTGTATACAGTAAATTATTTTTGCCTCAAATGAAGAATGGGAAAAAACCTTAGTTTGAAGTATACTGGAGCTAAATCTTTAACATTCCATGACCTCGATAAAAAATATCAAATCCCCCTTTCTATGTCTGGAGTTGACATTTTAAATTTCACGATGTTCCATGTCTCATCAAAAGCCATGAGAAAGAGTTCATTAAATGCCCAAAAAGCCTTTAAAATCACTAATAGTGCATGCTTGATGATTACTTACTTTGGGGTCTTTAAGAATCGCGAGGCACTCCTGCACAGGACGGCACTGGATCTTGTCTCTTTCTTCATCTTCAGGATTTCCAATACTGAATGACCGATCAGGTGCTTCCCTTTCACTTTTATTCTCATTAACTCCTTTTATGGCTTTGGGCGGGGCTGAATCCCTCTGACAGCGCTCTTCTCCTCCTCTTCTATTGATCAGGGAGCAGTTGGGCGTGGCCACTGTTGTTTTGATTGACAGGGAGGACTCTGTTTCAGCCTGCTCGAAAAACACATACTTGGCCGCCAATAAGAGGGCGAGGGAGAGCGTGATGACCTGCTCCAAATCCACACTGAAATCACAAATTGGATGATTACAAAAGGGGTAAATAAATAGAAACAAAGGCAGCACAATACATCAATAAATCATTATTATGACTAGAATAGTAATATCCTAATTGCAGATGATTTGTAATTGTTTTTTAATGATAATAGAATACAGTAGACATGTTAAGATGTACACCAAATATCAATTACATACACTGTCAATGGAAAAAGGGTACAAAGAAAGAGTAAGAAAGAAAATAATAATAAAGAATATCAATGAGACATTTTCAATTACAGTATATAAATTTAAGTCATCACAAAATGACATATAAATGACTTATTTTTAGATAATGAAATTGTATTTAAGTAATGACTAATTGACTGGTATTGGTAGCATTGGTTTGGTATTGGTCAATGTACATTTGGGGATTTAGATGATTTACAATTGTGTCACAAACATTTGTGTGCTGCAAGCATAGGTTGTTTATCCAGATTTGACCAATCAGATGGTGCCTTGCTATCTTTATCCTCGCCCCCCTCAATAGGTGCTGTTCTGCTATTGGCTAAATGTGAAATAAACACTAATGGCAGTAGTCAAGATAGGAAAATGATAACAATCATTCAGAATATCTGCAGTAGTTTGCACTGATACCTATTGTTTAAAAGTCTAAATGTTGGACCTTGATTATTTAACCTGAATGAGGTTTAATTAGAATGGCTTGAAGGACATCCACCACATTCTGATGTGAATGATGTGATGGTGATGGTGAATAAGTGAGATTTAATTAGATTAGAAAAATATCTATTACCTGCTTATTATAGTAGTTGCATAAATAAATTAAACAAATAACATATATATTGTGCAGCCCTAATGCTGTGTTCACACCAGACGCAAAACGCGCGGATAAATCGCGATATTTGCGCGTAAATTGCCGCGTGAACATTTGAGTTTGCTCGCTTCATTCGCGCGTCAAATCCGCTTCAAAACAGACGCGGATTCGCGTGATGGACAGGGCTTCTGTCTGCCCGGTGACTCTAGCTTCATAGCTAAATGGCTAACATGGATTTTATGAAGAAAATAACAGTGTTTATGTGCTTTATAGAGACTGAAAAACAGCGTTGATACGTTTAGGGTCGTGTCTGAGTCCACTAGATTCTTTCAGAGGTGCATCCAGCTCTGAGCTCATAAACTCCTCCAGAAACTGAACCTGGATGACGGAGGCTTTCAGCGGTGCCTCTGACAGAGCCAAGCCCAGTTTGATGACTTGTTGTCGGTGTCGCCTAGAGGATTTCCCCCGGGACACCATCAACAGGTTCTACGTCACAATCATGCCCCCACAAGAGCAAGCTTCTGATTGGTTAACGCGGCACAAATGTCCACTGAAGTTCAGATTTTCGAACAAGCGATTTGCGCGAAACACGCACAAAATGCTCAATTCGTGTCGCGCCATTCGCGCGTATCGGGCCATTCGCCCAATTTGCGTCATTCGAGCCACGCTATTCGCACGTATCGCGCCGCAGGATGTCTATTCGCGCGTTTGCATTGACTTAACATGTAAATCACTCTGACTTGACGTGTGTTCCGCATCTGGTGTGAACGCAGCATTATAGGAAAATCTTTCGTGCGTTTCTGTGCTCATACCTGGACATGGATCTGTCGGACTCCATGTTGGATGTGGGCAGAACCACGTCTGAACTGCTGATGTTGTGTGCTGGAGATTCAGTCTTGAGTCGACTGTGAGCATGAACCAAAGCCAGAACTAAAGACTGAAGCAAACACAAAGCACAGCAATCAGAAACACTCCATAAATACAAGACACCTATATCATTTTAATAAATCATATGCATGAAGGCCTAAAAAGGATCTGAGAGGCTAAATTCATTAGAGCAAAAAGAGTAATGCAGTGAAATATTGATACAATTCAAAGCTTTCTATTCTTATATATTTTAATATGCAAGAAAGCTCATTTTCCAGAATCATTACTTCAGTCCTCATCATCGCTCTACAGTTATTCTAATATGCTGATTTTCTACTATGAATATTGTGCTTCTTCATCTTGTTATGGACACTGTGATGATCTAGGACTTTAAAAGTGATGTCTATTATATCATATTATGCTCTTAATCATTAATTCTGTGGTGTTGCAAAGTACACAGTTTACTAATAATATCATCATTTTCATCATTTGGATGAGCTCAATCTTACACTAGGATGGAAAGTGAATAACAGCATGGAGGGAAAGCTGCATGCTTGAAAGTACAATGTTAATATTTAGCATTTTATTTAGCTATATTTTTTTGGGCATGTGATCATTAGTTTCTGAAAAGTGTTTATGCGTCACAAATATTTATTTTATGTTTTTCTTAATTACTTTTTTTAACAATTTCCCTGAAGTTTTAAATAAAGAAAAATGATCACCTATGAATTAGAATTATACACACACACACACACACACACACAAAATGTAGAATAGAAATCGTCCTTTCCATGTGGTCTGTATATTATTAACAATCTATTAACTGACTGACTTTACAGAAAAGGTACTATATCAGGATATATATGATGTATACCTTTTCTGTACACTGTTAATTAATAACTAATATATACTGACCACATGGAGAGGACCATTTATTTTTCACATAATTACATTTACGTTAGCTTTTTGTCCTATTATATTCATCATTGAATTTAATTGTTCAGGATTTTTTTAAATGATAGAAAGTTAAAAACAGCATTTACTCGAAACATTATTTACATTAGAAATGTTTGATGCATCATTGTTAAATAATGTCTTTTCATTGCTGAACCCAAAAATTAAGAACCGTAGAGTACAACAAAATATGACTAAAATAAACAAGAGATTTTTCCCAGTACTGGGTTGCAGCTGGAAGGGCATCCGCTGCGTAAAACAAATGCCAGAATAGTTGTCAGTTCATTCTACTGTGGAGAACCCTGATAAATAAGGGACTAAGCCGAAGGAAAATGAATGAATGAATAAACATGAGATTATTTTGTTCAGTAAAGCTGATGTTCTTATACTCTCACCATGATCATTTTGACTCTCTGAGTGACGGGGTTTGGTTTGTTTCCCTCTTCTTCCTCCAGAACCCGAGCAAAGTGACTGAGCTGCCAGATGGGACGTCCCTCACGGCTCTCGCGAGACAGCTGGAGGACACAGAGTGAGTGAATATCATTAATGTTTACTGACCGATGGGTTTATGTGTGAGATGTACAGTTTTTAATTCTGTACAGTCAGAATTATTTGCCCTCCTCTATATTTTTTCCATAATTTCTCTTTAACGGAAAGCAGATATTTTCAACACATTTCTAAACATAATAGCTTTAATAACTCATTTCAAATAGCTGATTCGTTTTATCTTTGCCATGATGGCAGTAAATAATATTAGACTAGATATTCTTCAAGATACTAGTATTCAGTGACATTTAAAGGCTAAACTAGGTTAATAAGGGTAAATTTATGGCAATTAGGCAAGTCATTGTATAAAATTAAGAACTGCTTTTATTCTAGCTGAAATAAAACAAATAAGACTTTCTCCAGAAGAAAAAATATTATAGGAAATACTGTGAAAAATTCATGAATCTGTTAAACATCATTTGGGAAATATTTGAAAAAGAAACAAAATTCAGAGCAGGGTGAATAATTCAACTGTAGATCATCTTAATCAACAAAGCACACTGACCTCCAACACCAGCGACACACAGGCCGGGAAAAACGTCATGAACACAAAGTAATTGGCCAGAACCGACATGCAGCCGAAACAGCACATGATCTCCAGCTGACGCACACCTGGAGTCACACAGAGAGTAGAGTTTAACACGCTTTTAACACTTGCAGCCATTTTTAAAGGGCAGTTCACTCAAAAATTCTGTCATCATTCTGTCATTTATCACTTGTTCCAAATCTGTTTGAGTTTTTCTCTTCTGTTGAACAAAAACCAAGATATTCTGAAGAATGATGGGGAAAAACAGATATTGACTTGTTAACATTATGGATGTCATTGGCTGCTTATTTCCAGCATTCTTCATATTATCTTATTTTGTGTTCAACGGAAAGAATTTTCCTCTTTTCATTTTTGGATGAACTATTCCACAAACCACTGAATATTCATAATGAATTTTACAGTCATTAATAAATAGTGAATTAATTAATTTGACAGGTATTTAATAAAGACTGTGAATGAATTGTTTATGTAAAATTTAAATGCAAGTTTTTAAAAAGTTTAAAGAATTTGGGCACATATCAATTGTAATTTTAATGAAGAAGAATTTTTCAGAATTATTATTTCAATGAAGACTTTTTTACATTTCATTATTCAATTTCTGTACCTGAAAACTGTTTGAATCTTTAGAAAACCATAAAGCACTGTTTATCCTTTTTCTTTGCTGTATTATAATTATTCTAGCTTGCAATTTGTTTGCTATTTTTATACACAATTCACACCCTTAAAAAAATCACCACAAATCTAAATAAATGATTTAGTTCCCCAAGTAGAGCTATTCAAGCCATCTGCTGAAATTGCTTTCATATCACAATACATCTTGCAGAAAAATGTATTATTGCAATGTCAGACTTTCCCAATATCAAGCAGCCCTACTATATATGCTCAACATACTCTCCCCTGATCCAGCTTTATATGACTACGGTAATCATGAAAAAAAAAAAAGTATTAAACCAACCTGACATGGTGCCGACACCAATGACCAGACACTCCACCACTGCATCCAGGGTGAACGTGGGTCCCAGTATTGCCATTCCTTGAGCAATATTCTCTCTGACCTCCTCCTGTGGGTCACATGAACAGGGAATATTTACAAAACCATTTATACAGCACTTTAAACAATAACACAGAAAATCCTATTGATATTGTTTCTGGTAGTCGCACTCAGCAGATTTAAGAAAGAAAATAACAAAATTGAATGTATAGCATTTAATAAGTGTACCGTATGTATGAACTTTATATAAGCTGGATAATACTATAGTAAATCACTAAATGAACATTAAACAGTTGAGATCTGCTACATTTAATTAAAATGACAATACTGCATGTATGATTATTCAAATTAAAATATATTTTCAACATTATATAAAGCATATCTACAAGAATTCATCACCAAAACATTTTGGAATGTCCTTTTTCAATCATGACAACAAAATGATGTTAAAAATAGATTTTGAACAATTAAATGCAGTCATGAAGCGTGGTCACATAAAAAGCAATGAAATATTCATGATGTTGTTCAGATTGCACAAAAATTAGTTTTCGTACCTGTGAGTTTGAGCTGAGAGCGAATTTGGCCAGCGTGCAGGCTTTAGACAGATCAATCAGCAGCAGGAAGAACGGCAGAGCCTCACTGGAGGAACATGAGGACGTTAATACACAAACTGAAAACATGTGAGATACTGATTATAAAACAGACAAATCAGCTTCATACTTCAGTCCTGTCAGCTCCTTGCCCAGGAAGTGAACGACCACAGTGCTGAACACAAAACTGGAGAAGATGGTGAACAGACCAGCGATCCCTGCACATTAAACAATACAGCATAATTACCTTCATATTATACTAACAATCAAATGAAAGACAACAATTGGTAACACTTTAGGTTAGGGTTCAAATTATGCTAGTAACAACTGGCTTATTGCCTGCATGTAATTAAGAAATTAACTCTTCATTAGTAATTATAAAGTATGATCTATTTCTGCAAAAACATAAACCTAAACCCAACTTCTACCTTGATTACTATTAATAAACAGCTAATTAGTCATTTATTAAACTTGTAGTGTTAGTTAATGGTTTGTTAATAACATGAATTGTAAGCTAACAAAAAAGCGCAGCGGCCCACCGGGAATTCTCCCGCTCCTCTCGACAGGGCCAGATTAACCAATGGGCCTTATGGGCACAGGCCCAGGGGCCCGTGCGCACTAGGGGCCCCTGCGAGGGGGGCGAAAAAAAAGACAATTTTGTAGTGTCTTTTTAGGCTTATTGCAAATAGCGCATCTAGTTGGAATATACTATTCTCGGTTCATGCCCATCGATGCCTGATTGATAGAGACAACAAGAGTAAAGAGCAGATAAGCACTACAGGCTGAGTGGCGCACCTCGTAAAATGTACGATAACATCTTTTGATTCGATGCATCATCAATTCGGTTCGAATCCACCATCTGTTGAACTTGTGCTACTTTTTTCTCCCCATTACATATCAGATTGGAAATATATTTATTTTTAACCGGAAGGAAACATTTTAAAAAAATAATGCAAACGTGACAAAGTCACAAGTGCCTCGTGGGTATTTAATAATGTTTAGCCTTAAAAAAGATGCCTCCCTCTCTAAAACTGTATTGCTCAGACAACTGTATTTCTTCTGAGCATTGTGAGCAAAAAAATAGCGATCACATATTATTATTATATTTAAACTGCCTTTCTTTCTTTAACTAAACAGAATGCTGTAATTGGTCAAGCGCGGAAACGTCAGTTTTGAAAAAACCTGCACTAAACTGAGCGGACTTTAGTGTAACGTTATTATTTGTCATAGATCAAAAATGAGTGGACAAGTAGATTTAGCAAACACGAGAGAAAGAGGAGAGGAGGCATCTTTATTGAGGCATTTTCCATACACACCTTCTTCAAACAGACCCATGATCAGGAAAATGAAGGTATAGAAGAAGACGTTATGGTAACGTTAAATAAGTAGCTAGCATTAACCAGGCGGAGAAGGCTAACGGCAGCACAGCGCGGACTGGATTTATCTTGTGAGAGACAGTCAGAAAAAGGAGAGAAAGAGGGAGAGAGAGAGAGAGAGAGAGAGAGAGAGAGAGAGAGAGAGAGAGAGAGAGAGAGAGAGAGAGAAAGGCCCTGAAGAGGAAAGAGACTGGAGAGAAGAGGTATAGTGTGTGTGATTTCGGATACTTTTAGGTTTATAATCAAGTCTTCATCACGAGAAGAGTAGAGAAAATACAGGGAGAGGAGGAGAGAGACAGTAAATTATTAATAAGTGTGTATTATGAATCAGATTCATAAAACTCAGATTCATAGAACTGGATTGGAGAACCATTGTGTGTTATATGCCATGCCAATATGCTTTATAAGTTTGTAAAAGCAATAAATGAAAATACCCTTTTAAAAAATTGTGTGTATATATATATATATATATATATATATATATATATATATATATATATATATATATATATATATATATATATATATTATAGTTTTATATATACTAGTTTTATTAGTAATTTTATTCAATGCTTTGAAAAATAAGTTAATCCTTGTAGACTACAAATACATATGTACTATATATCATTTATTTAAATATGTAGGTTTAAATAATGAATTAAATAATGAATTATAGATTCATTTTATTAAAAATTATTATATTATTCTTATTTTTTTAATTCAACTATAGGGATGAGGCCAGGTAGGGGGCCTTACAAGACAATGTGCCCAGGGGCCCCTGAGTTCTTAATCTGGGCCTGCCTCTCGATTAGCCAGTCCGGGCCTGCTGGATGGCCCGCCCAAGTAAAGTCTATGGAGGGAAGCACTGCACTCATTCTTTGATTTTTAGTAAAGAATAAGAATGCTGTGAAAATAAGCATGCTGTTTAATTTTTACATTGATATATCAGTTGCAATGTCAATAAAGCATCATTTGACCCATACCTTGACATTTGATATTCTCTAAAATTATTCTCTAAAATTGCATTTAATATTTTCTTCTTGTAAAGTCACGTTTGTCAATTTTAAAAGGGCACCTGTTATGCAGAAAACACTTTTATAATGGTTGTAAGCAGTTGTGTGGCATCTGTTTGTCAAGCCAACTTCTAATGGTAGAAGCTTCTAATCTGCAGAAACACTGACATTCTCCCTTTGTATGTCTGATCAGAGGGGGAAAGAGCTGCCTACTTGTAACCATCTCTCCCTCATAACAGGCCCCTTTAATTTTCAGCTGAAAAAAAGGCTCATCTTTGTTGTCCCTTATATAACATCAAAATTTTAATTGTTCAAACCAAACTGCATTCATAAACTCACCCAGTATATATTTGGAGCCGAGCTGACGAAGGTTTTTGAACTGGATGTAGATGTAAATTATGGCTATGCATCTCGTAATGGTTAAAATGGCCATGTCGCCACTTATAATTTTCTGTAAACATAAAAAAGTACATATGTGTGTTAATAGTGCCATATAACTTTCTATATAAGATCATATTTACCATCCGCACAGTTCACAGCACAATCTATAAACAGAGCTGGGCTTTCAGTAGGCTATAAAACAGTTCAAATAGGAAATAAATAAGGGTGTCACGATCCTCCAAATCCTCGATTCGATTACATTTTCGATTCTTAAGGCACGATTCGATTTTCGATTATGAATAATTAATTAATTAATGATCAATTAATTATTTGTAGCCTGCCGTTTAAACTACCTGTCCTGCATGGTGTTTGTTTTACCCATAAACAAATCATACAGTAAATGAATAAAGGCAAGATACACACATAATTACCACCTGTCAATCACTTTTTCTGCGGGACTCGTGAATAGGCAGTGATCTGTGTCGTTATAATGGCGTCGGTAAAAAAGACGCACAACCAACAGGAACCAGCCAACAGTATCTGAGGTGTTCGCTAAAATGACTAAGTACAAGTGAGTGAAAGATTGAAGCAGTCCTCTGACTGCCTGGACCTGCTGTCTCGAGCGCATGGCTGTGAGTGCGTCTGTGTCTGTGTGGTCACGTGATGTGCATTTTCAGAGGTAGAGAGGAAGGAGGGCTGCTCAGAAATGCTACACGCCACTGTGGATGTCAAATCGTTGTCGTTCTAAAATGCCATTTAAAAACAAAGACAGTGTAAACAGGGCCTGAGTGTGTACTTTTCACGAGCGGATTTGCAACGGGGGCGGGCGGAGGATCGCGATGCCGGTGTTGTCTATCGGACGAACCGTACGTAATACGTACATAGCAGAGCTTGCAAAACTGTGTTTTTTTTTTGTCGACAACACGAACGTTGTCAACATAACTCACTGGAAATCCAAAATGCTTAAACACCGGCTACTTCATTGAAAGAGGAGAGGGTTTAAGCTCTGTCGACGGGTCTCCTGCTTCTGCAGTTTAACAAGCACTTCAACAAGCCTGTTTTTTCCCGCTTGACAAGCCAAGCTGACGTGACATGGGGCGTGGCAGCATTGACGATTCTATTTTTTGATTCGATAATCGAAATTGAGCATAAATTTGGATCGATTTCGATTAAAAATCAAAATCGTGACACCCCTAGAACTAAATCATAAATGTTATGCGTAAATACAAAAAGAGAGACTTTTATTATATGAGCTCTGTATACAGTTGAAGTCAGAATTATTCACCCTACTGGGAATTTTTTTTTCGTTTCAAATATTTCCCAAATGATGTTGAACAAATTCAGGAATATTTCACAGTATTTCCTATAATATTTTTTCTGCTGGAGAAAGTCTTATTTGTTTTATTTTGGCTAAATAAACCATTTTAGGGTCAATATTATTAGCCCTCTTAAGCAATATTTGTTTTGGATTGTCTAAAGAACAAACCACTGTTATACAATGACTTGCCTAATTATTCTAACTTGCCTAATTAACCTAGTTAAGCCTTTAAATGTCACTTTAAGCTGTATAGAAGTGTCTTGAAAAATATCTAGTCAAATATTATTTCCTGTCATCAAGGTAAAGATAAAAAAAATCAGTTATTAGAAATGAGTTATCAAAACTATTATGTTTAGGAAAAAAATCTTCCCATTAAACAAAAATTGAGGGAAAAATATAGAGGGGGGCTAATAATTCTGACTTCAACTGTATATTGGACATGAACATTGGTGCAGATCAATATAATAACAGCACACTGTACCTCCTGTACTTTGGGACACTGATGGTTCCAGCCACAGATCTGGTCATTACCAGCGAAAGCGTTCATAGACATTAGGCACATTGTCACGGCAACCGTTCCCACGATCACCTCCCAGGGATGAGAGGCGACGAACAGGCCGTGAAGCCTGAAGAGACGCGACAGCATCATCATCATCACGGTCTTCAGTGGGTCACCTGACAACATAACAAATCAAAACTCATCTCTGATGCTGTCTGTATAGACTGTATAATGAGATTTAAATAATTATGTCACACAGTGGTAACATTTCTTTTCAATACTTTACAAGATTTAATTGATGTATTACTAATAACATTACTAATGTGTTAGACTTTCAGAAAGAGGAAAACAATAGTGCGAGACTGATAACGGCAGCCAGAAGAGAGAATACTGTCAGATTTACTGTCCCGTGCCTTATACACACAGCATTACAAACACTTCACACAAGCGCCAATTCATTTAGTAATGCAAAGATTATTAAACACATGTATAAATACATATAAATGTTCATACGTTTAAAATAAAATCTAAATAGTAAAAACTTTCACGATTTAAGATGTTGATGACTATTAAATGCATCATAATGTCTTGTGAAAAGGGTCCATTCTCACATTTAGACTTATTCCTTAATAATATTCTTCGTTCATTTTCCTTCGACTTAGTCCCTTATTTATCAGGGTTCACCACACCGGAATGAACCGCCAACTATTCCAGCATATGTTTTAGCCGCAACCCTGTACTGGGAAACAGCCGTACACTCTCACATTCACACAGCCTATTCAATTCCTCTATAACGCATGTGTTTGAACTGTGGGGGAAACCGGAGCACCCGGAGGAAACCCACACCAACACGGGGAGAACATGCAAACTCCACACAGAAATGGTAACTGACCCAGCTGGGACTCAAAACAGCGAGTGTGAGGCCACTGTGCTAACCACTGCACCACCGTGCCACCCTCCTCAGTAATACAAGCTCAGAAAAGTATTCTTTACAAGTTGTAAATAGTGAAATCATATTAGCAGCCAATCACTATCAAAGTACAACATTGTTTACAATCTATTAAATAGTGATAATGTTGTTTTGATTAAAGTCATACTTGCATGTGATTTCAGACCGGATATTCAAAGTATTGTGGGTCACAATATAGGGATCATGTCACAAGTTATCTCTGATCAGAAATTGACGAATTTGGATATGAAATCAACTTTACCTCATTTTTTGTCAGTAACTGATGCCAGTGTGTTTAGTAGTAGAAAACAACCAAATATATTCTCAGGGTGTCCGCAGGGTCTTAATGTATTAAAAGTTCATAAACCAAATCAATGTAGAGACATTTATGGCCCTTAAAAAGTATTAAGAAGTCTTAAATGCTGTTTTGCAAGGTATTCAATTTGATATCATTTTTGATTATGCTATGTGTGGTTGTGTGCTAAAGTTTGCCTGAATTCTGCGGATATCAGGATGATGTGTAGTTTATGGAGTCAATGCAATCCTGCTAGAATTGACATCACTGCAGTAAGTGATGTGTAAGTACCAACCTGCTGAACTGGTTAGATTTAATAGATTTTCATTCAGCATATGAATAATGTTTTAGTTTTGTATTAATTTCTTACATTAATGGTTAGTAAATATACTGCGAGTTAAAATCTTGCCAGTGTTTTCGTTTGAAAAAGGGGTTAAGGTCTTAAAATGTATGGAAAGAGTCTTAAAAAGGTCTTAAAATGTATTGAATTTGAATACCTGATATCTCTGATTCTTGTATATGCTCTGATCCTTAAAAACAAACTTTCATATTATTCTTAAAATTTCTAAAATTGCTTTTAATTAATTACACTCTTTATAATTAGGGTGGCGGAGTGGGCAGCGCTGTCACCTCACAGCAAGAAGGTCGCTGGTTTGAGTCACTTCAGGGTTAGTTGGCGTTTCTGTGTTTGCATGTTCTTTGCTTATTAGTGTGGGTCCAAACACATGGGCTATAGGTGAATTGATTAACTGAATTGTCCATAGTGTATGAATGTGTAAATAAAATATACTATGGACATGTGTGTGGGTGTTTCCCAGTACTGGGTTGCAGCTGGAAGGACATCCGCTTCATAACACATGAGCTGGATAAGTTGGAGACCCGTGATTAATAAAGGTACTAAGCCGAAAATAAAACAAATGAATTAATTTTATTATTATTTAAATATTATTACATTTTATCTGGATCAATAATTATTCTGGCGCTCTTTACAAAATTATCGAGTGGATTTAAATAAATTTTATAAATTACAGGACAACAGTTTGCACACATTAGCACATGTAGTGGTATTATTTCATTGATTTGTATTTATATCATATTGTATTTAAATTAAAATATACTTTAATAAATGTTTTTGTTAACTGAACTTTCCTTTTAATGATTCCAATATTATTGGTAGTGTCGTGTTTTAGCTTTTTGAAAAACATTTACTCAAATTAAACCCAAAAGACATTAAACATCACTAATATTAGCCATTTTTACACATAGGATCAGCAATCTGTCATCATTCAAAGGGGCTCAAACTCTGACACTGCTTCAATAGCATTAGCAACATGTAAAAAAAACATTTATATAACTTTTAAACCGTGATCACGATCAACATACATCATGCCACACTGCGTTAATAACACATAGGAGAAAATAATATCAGAAAACCTTACCTTAAAGTTAGTAAAAAAAAAGATGTTGACAGCATGCTAAGCTAATGTAGCATAAGCTAAAGGAGTCACAGCTGTCATTGAGCCTCTTATTTAAAACACCGCCGACAAATGTGCAAATGGCTCATTATATTGATTAAACAAAGATATAAATGAACAAGAATAAAGCCTTAACTATTAATTTGGACAATATTTTAACATACCCTCATCTGTTCTCCTCTGATCAGTGTCCGTGTTACACGGTGACTGTTCTGACGTAATCCGCCCTCAACGGGCTCGCGCATGTGACGTCCCCAAAGAAGAGCGGGGTCATGTGTCACCGAAAATCTACACGACTTTATTTTAACGTTTGAATTATTGACTACAGTATATTTCTCTTATATTTCACACTTCGGAAGATTTTATTTGTCCTTACTGATAGATGGTGAGGAAAAAAAACGTGAATATTTGCTAACAAATATTTAATTAAATACATAAAAGGCCAGAGGGCGCTCTCATTTGAAACTCCAAATGCCTAGGAAGAAACCTAAGAAGATTTTTACAGTCTATGGAAGAAACCCAGGAAGCCCTGTAGCATTCCATTATAAACAGAAGATTCAACTGCTTTCATTGATTCAGCATGACTAATAAACAGACCTACTGAATCATCTCAGAAGGATTCCTTTCAAGCAACTACTTGAAGTTATTCAGTTCAATTCACCGTTATTTGTATAGCGCTTTTACAATGTAGATTGTGTCAAATCTAGAGACAGTAGGTCTATCTAGAGACAAAGAAAGACTTCATGATAAAGGTGCAGGAAAAGCAGTGGACATTGTCAAGATTCCCCCAAGATTCAGAATCTGTATAATGAAACGACAAGCAAATAAAGCCACCCGAAAGTAAGCATTCTGTTTGTCTATTTTAAGGTTTTAATAATTACTTATTTTCTTTGTGTGTTTATGTGCTTTTGTAGGCCTGTCTTGGATGGATAAATAAATAAATATGACAATTAAACTGTCAATAGGAGGCTGCAATGCCTGTTTTAGGGACTATTTATACCTACATCTGATTTGTGAAAAAGTTTCCATGTACACTTGACCACGTGCATGAATGCATGTCTGCTTCTTCAACTGGGTTACAGTTGAAGCATCAGATGCATCGCATTTAATTAAATTAATATTATTATTTACAGAAAGGTAATCTTATATATCTTTTTTGGCATTCAAATTGTTTTATTTGCTGGCTGTAAAACATCATTATGAAGACAAAAGGTTGGCTTAGTGATAACTTTCATTATAATGACACATCTGTTATTTGTCATACAGTGCAAAATATCATTCAAAACTGTAGAGGGTTTTCGTTAATTTGTTCCTCTCTTTTAAGGTTTGCTTACGTAGCGGAAGGGGCGGAGCTATCGGGCGCACATGTTGGATAACTTTGGCTGCGTCCGAAACCGCCTACTACATAGTAGGTACTGCATTTCAATTTAAACGTACTACTCGTCCGTTAGAAAAGTACGTTCTATACAGTATGAATGTGAAAAGTATGAATGAAATTCGGATGTACTACATCCACCATTTTGTCATGGTCACGTGACCTACCTGCGTCAGTTGCGTCGCTTTACTTCCATTTATGAATTCGCTCGCGGGGCATCATGGGATAGCGCAGCATGCATGGGATGCGCACTCCGGAATCTCGCCGGAAGTAGTAAGTCATCCGGGTACTTCTCACATACTGATTTTCGAATTCTATAAATTCGGACATACTACTCGGCTCACATACTGATTTTAGCAAACTGTATAGTATGGAAGTATGCGGTTTCGGATGCAGCCTTTATTTATTTTGGATGGTGAAAGTAAAATTCTCCTACGAGAGTGATTATAGCGCCTCCCGGTGGTGAATGCGGTTACACTCACGGCAGGTATTATTTGATAATTCGGTCGTTTATTTCACTGGTTTGGCGACCGTCAAATGTCATCAGGGAAATGGTTTGAATTTCCGCTTAGTAAAAAACAGTAGTGTGCCATTTGGGACGCCACTACATACATATACTATCCTGTTGAGTGTGTAAGTGCATAAGTACATAGTGCATAGTGTATAGTGTGCCATATGGGATGCAGCTATAGATTCAAACAAACATGATTCATTCACTTTGGGAGTGTAACTCATCTCAACCATTCTTTAATTTAACCAGTCAAACTAACACGATCTCATGGCAATTCGTAACTTTTTGATTTGGTGGTTAATTCGTATGAATTTGTATGATCTAATTTGTACAATTTAGTACGATTTGCTCATCCCCCAATGACAGTTGGGTTTAGGGGCGGGGTTGGGTGCCACGCCTCCTTTTTAAAATTGTAAATTTTAATACGACTGAACTATGGAATCAGATTAGTCTCAAAAGAAATTAACGCAAAAGACACGATGTACACATGCGTAGCCAAATTCACGTGCATAAAACCAAATTCACGTGCGTAAAATATTTATTTATATTCACACAAAAATTTCTCGAGCACAAAATAAAAATACATTTTCATAAAATACATTTCACAAATGCAAAACACCATTTGCAAATGTATAAGAGTGTACAAAAAGTTTTGAATCAACATAGGTGAGGTTCTAACACAGGTCTAAGGGGATGGTAATCCAATGTGCTGACCACTGGACCACAATAGCGCTGCAATGCTGTCATGGCCGGAATGATTTGTATGATTACCCTGCAGGATACATGTTGCTCATGGAGCTGCGAGACAATAAATAAGAAAAGCGGAGCTGCGGCAAAATAATGGATAATAAGAGTGAGGATGTGGTCAAATAAATAAATACATTTTTAAAAAGTGCGACTGCTGCTTTCTCCGTTCGCCATGCTGGAGAGGAACAGTCTGCGCAAAAGAAGCGCAAAGTTGGTTTCATTGACTACAGCTCTCATCTGATTGGCTGAAAGGTAAGAGTAGTCCTGACTCTGGCAGGAAAGTCTCAGAAATACACACACACGTATCCAGGGGGAGTCGTACGTGAAAGAGGATTTGCACATTCATTCAGGATGAACTCGCAAGTTTTAAACATTCAAAACTTTTTGTACACTCTTATACATTTGCAAATGGTGTTTTGCATTTGTGAAACGTATTTTATGAAAATGTATTTTTATTTTGTGCACGTGAAATTTTTTTGTGAATATAAATAAATATTTTACGCACGTGAATTTGGTTTTATGCACATGGATTTGGCTACGCATGTGTACATCGTGTCTTTTGCGTGAATTATTATTGAGTCTATTCTGACTCCATACTGAACTGGTATGAATTAGCCACTAAACTGACAAAACGTAAAACAGTTACGTTTCCTCGTGAGATTAGGCTGGTCAAACAACTTCAACAGCAAATCAAAGGTTCATTACAACTTAAATCTGATAAAAATATATGTTGCATCCACATTTAATCATGTTATATCACTATATTGCCTAACTTCATTTATTTGTTTATTTTTTGCCATCGTCTGAATGGTACATCGTGAACCACAACAAGGCTTCCTGCTTCTTCTAGGTTTGATTTATGTACTTTTGCTCCAAACCACATCCTGTGCTCAACTGCTGCTTCAGTCTGCAATGGCATCGTTGGATTTGCGACTGAATTCAAACAGTTGATTTTCCGCTTTCAGTGTTTGTATTTAACAAAAATTAAACTTAAGAGCAATATCAGACTTTCCATTTGAGTCAAACGATGGCACAGAGACTTCAAAACAGAGGTAACGCTTTCAATCTGACTTTAAGATGATTTTCCTATAGATTTGTTTTGATTTTTGAATCTCTAATAAGTAATTAATGCATATCAATATAAAGCAGCACACATTACTCAGATTTTAGATTAGATTTTGTTATCATTGTAGACCACAAATCAAATGCATTAACTTGAACTGACTGTATTTTTTTTTTTCTTTTTAACAGACTTATCATATGAAGTAAACCAATGCACAGCCGACATTAAAGCGTGTAGATTTATAGTTCTTGGAGGCAACGAGGTTCTGATGAGAGAAGTTTGTGAAACCATCCTAGGGACAAAAGCGAATATCACAGAACATGGGTCATGTGAGTTGAGAGAGGCTCATGATAGCGGACGGCACATCTCTGTTGTAAAAACACCCACTAATTGGCTGGAACGCCTGAAAACGCACCCTTTCTTAAGCCATCAAGTCAAATCTTTGAAAATCGAGATGGACTGCAGTAGCTTGCTGATTTTTCCTGGGCCTCATGCATTTCTGTTAGTGCTTGGAGATGTGCATAACACCGGTAAAGAGCATTATCTGCTACGAGCTCTTAGAGATGCATTTGGAGAGGAGGTGTTAAACTACACTATGGTGGTATTTATGCATGAATATGAGGAAGAGGATATAAAAATGAACCGTTGTGTCAAAAAGTGTCACGAAAGGTACCACATTTTAAAAAACAGTGAGGACAGTGTTATAAAGCTCTTCCAAGACGCTACTAAGACGATAAAAAAGAGAATGCGCAATCTTTTCTTTACAAAAGATCGTAGCATGCTGGAAAAAGCTGAAATGTATTTTACACAGGAATATATATCGGAATATGAGGAATTTAAAACAACAGAGGAAGGGCTGAGAATAAAAGTGACAGAAATGGAAAACCAAATTTCTGAAAACCTGAAAGATTCACAGCGACTTCGTGAAGAATTACAGGCTTCAAAAAGCAGAGAGAATCAGTTAAATCAGCAAATGGACGCTTTAAAAAAAGAGAAATCTGAGCTGGAGGAGGAGCTGTGTGCACTCAGGTATCTTAAGAGATTGTTAGAAAATCTGACCAACGAGAGAGAAAGTCAGTTGAAGTCTGATAATGAAAAGCTTAAACAAGAACTGGAGCAACTCACAGCCAATAATCAGAGGCAATCACAGGACAGTGTGGCATTTCTCCTCACCAAAACACAGCATCACAAATCACAGGAGCAAAAAGAAGAACAGGCCCCAGTGCAAGAACATGAAAGACTGAGAGATTTGACTGTCAGAGAGATGAAACTAGACCACAGAGAGAGAGAAATGTTGCCCTCTTGTGGTAAGTGCTGTCACTGTCTGTTTATGACACTGCTCAGTTTTTATTGGTCAGCCTCCACATTCTAAAGTTTTCTTATTCATGCATGGCTGTCTGGAATATTCGATTCTGATTGGTCAGTCTCGACATTCCAAAGTTATTCTTATTTATGCATGACTGTCTGGAGTATTCAATTCTGATTGGTCGGTCTCGACATTTCAATGTTATTCTTATTTATGCATGACTGTCTGGAGTATTCAATTCTGATTGGTCAGTCTCGACATTCCAAAGTTTTCTTATTTATGCATGGCTGCTTTGAATATTCAATTCTGATTGGTCAGTCTTGACATTGTTATGTTATTCTTATTCATGCATGGCTGTCTGGAATATTTGATTCTGATTGGTCATTCGCGACATTCCAAAGTTTTCTTATTTATGCATGGCTGTCTTGAATATTCGATTCTGATTGGTCAGTCTCGACATTCCAAAGTTTTTTTATTCATGCATGGCTGTCTGGAATATTCAATTCTGATTGGTCGGTCTCGACATTCCAAAGTTTTTTTTATTCATGCATGGCTGTCTGAAATATTAGATTCTGATTGGTCAGTCTCGACATTCCAAAGTTTTCTTATTTATGCATGGCTGTCTGGAATATTCGATTCTGATTGGTCAGTCTCGACATTCTAACGTTATTCTTATATATGCATGACTGTCTTGAATATTCAATTCTGATTGGTCAGTCTTGACATTCTAATGTTATTCTTATTTATGCATGGCTGTCTGGAATATTTGATCCTGATTGGTCAGTCTCGACATTCCAAGGTATGTTAGTCTCAGATAACAACCACTGATACTAATAATATAGGCTTATCCCTTTGAATCATCTTTACCATGAGTAAATATGTTCACATTTATTGTCTGTCACGCTGCTGTTTTTGAGTGTTTGGCATCATTTTGTAACTGAATAATATGTATATGCTATAACTGTACATATAGACAATAATATGTATAATAGTGTTTGCTTCATTCAGCAGTTTTCATTTCTGTCAGCTTTGACTTTAATTGAAAAATTAATTAACTATTACTATTGCTACACATATTTGTCTTGTGTTTTTAGCTTGACAGGCAGGTGTCTCTGTATTGACCAGCAGGTGTTTGACAATATGTTGTGCTTGTGCATCTTTCGTTACAATAAATGACATTCACTTTCATATTCTGCATCCAGTAAAAAGACATTTTGACATAGACATCTTTTCTCCTCTTTTCTCAGTAATGACGTTTATATCTCATTGCTTTTTTTTTTTGTTTGTTTGTCAAAGTACCTGAAGACAAAACCAAACCTCAAGAAGACTGTGGATCAATTGTGTTGGAAGAAAAAAACGGTAAGAAAATTACATCTAATAGTAAGAACAATTGAGAATTTGTGAGATTAAGAGATTTAAACTTGAGCTTTTTAGTTTACTCAGTTTATGTAAACATGGTCCATTGTATAAGCCATATTATAATCAAACTAGACCCCACCATGTTTTATGTAAACTTAAGATGTCATTTTTTTTTAATAGTGTCTGAAATTAAAGTCAAAGCTCTGAGTCAAACAGAATGTGAGATGGAAAACAAAAGAACAGTTGAAATGTTGAAACTTACGAGAGAGGGCAGTAAAAAAGTACCAGTCAACAGTACGTATTACACACAGATAAAACTTAGTTACTTTTTCTCTGGCTGTAACATTGTTAAAAATGTGTGTTTGTGTTTATCTGTAATAATTGATGTTTCAAATTGTCTTTGAAAATCTGTATCTGATATAATGACTATCAAACATTTTTACTGATTGACACAGTATCAAAATTCTGACATCTTGAAACTTGGCAGTGAAAATGTTAAGCTTTAAAAATGTTCTTATTTAAGTGTCTAAAGATAAGAAAAAGCAAGGCGACACTGGATCATTTGTGCTGGAAGGATTGAAGCTTGTGGGACAAAACAGTAAGAAATCAGATCCACTTGACAGTAATTGAATTGAAGATAAACAGTTAAATAAATATAAGGTTATTAATCTTCATTATCATTTCACAGGTGGGAATCAGTCTACAGGACATTTACATGGGAGCCCTAAAGGTGGGATGTAAAAATGTTCAAGCAAAAGCATAGCACTTGTGTTTTATCTGCAATATATATATATATATATATATATATATATATATATATATATATATATATATATATATATATATATATATATATATATTAGATTTATTGAAAGAAAAAAAGTATTACTTGTAAAATCTGACATCTCTGTCTCTTTCTGTTAGGACCTGACTCTGCATATTTTGAGTCTTGAATCCTCTGTTAAATATCCTACAAACACAAGCAGGCTCTACTCCCAGCAAAAGATGATGATCAAAACTTCACGTCAGCATGTGTTTTTGATGCTTTTTAAAAAAATTTTATAAGCTAATCTAGTTAGTTTTAAAGTTGTGCCTAAGATACTAAATCATGTTTAATTTTTACAAGTAATTTTAACGTACTTCAATTAAACAAAGGCAGCAACTTTAAACTATCAGTATCATCAAATTATTGCATGTTTAAGTGTTTTGACAGTATATAACTGCCTAAAATCATTTGCTTATCTGAAAATATGTTATTTAGTTTTTGATAATGAAAATACATGTTGGTTGTGTGTTTTATAAAGTGTTAAATTCAATACAAATTTGTGTTTTAGTTACAGTATTGGTAGGTACTCTATAGTGCAAGCATATTACTGTCTGTAATAATGTATGTATGTGCATATTCTCTGTGTATTTGCTAGTTTTGTATACTGTGTATATATTGACAAAATTATTTGTGTCGTATAATGTGTTGTAGATATAGTACTGTAAATAGCATGTAAGCACAGTCATAATCTCACATGAACTAATAAATATTTCTTACACCAAAATGTGGTAAAAAATGTACAGTGTTTCTTTTTTTATTTTTTTCTAATTAAGGACCTTAACATTTTAATTAAATTGTAATGTTCCAATCTTTTGTTCAGGTACAGTAACTATAAAAGGTAAAGCTGTAATAAAACCAAAACTAAAAGCATTCCTATATCAATTGTATGCCTGTTAGTCAGTGTTAGAGGAGCTGCCAGCTAAAGAAATATATTTTATTGCATTGCATTGGATCAGTTCACATTCTGTTGAATCGAATTTAAATCAGATCATCTATTAATGGATGCTCCAAGTCAAGCCATCTGTATTTCAATAGCTCTTTATAATGTGCAGTAGATGGTGACAAAACGACTTTATGCAGGAAAAGCATAGTGAAAATATATTTTTTTTTACTTTCATTGGACATTCAACATATCAGCAGAGTTAGTGGTAGAATACTTGTGAAGTTCTAGTTCAGTTGAGTTTAATATGAATCTCACATTGATCATCCTTAGTGTACCACAACCATCTGCTCAGGATACGGGCCAGATCCAAGATTATGTTTACCTTGAGATAAGGAAACACTAATAGAATAGCATAGATGCAATTCTGTTTGCCATGATTAATGCAAAGCTATGTTTGTGTTTTATGTGTACGCTAGTGCAAAGAGTGTGTGTCTGCCTCCCCAACATGCTGGTAGGCTGTTCTAGAGTTTAGGAGCCAGATAAGTCAAATATATACCACCTACAGTCAATTTGGATATTTTAGGTGTAATAATTTGGCCAGAAATGTTTGAAAGTTGTGGACATGAAGAACTGTATTACAGCAGGAGCTCAATGCCCTTTTTTGGACACATGTTGTGGCCTACTAAGCAACAACACCGGTATTGCTATTGTAGAGCTGGAAAGCGAGATTTAAAACCACTCTGGGGTGCGCTTCCCAAACAACGACACAACTCGCGGTTGAACTATCATAGTACGATGCATGGTGTGGCAAATGAACGATGTAGTGACGCAGATCCATTGTTTGATACATGTTAGTTATAACGTAATACGCTTATAATGACGCTCTAAACCGGGTGGAGTAACAACTTCTTTACAGAAGAACCCCATAATTTCTTTGTGCAAATTATATTGTTTTACACGCACAAGCATTTAAAAGTAAAATCCATTATTAATTTTGGTAAAAACATGCACTCGTTTTCTATATTAATTGAAATATATGTAAACGGCACATATAGGGCCTGTGTTTCCTTTACAAATACTATTGAGAACATTACATAATCTACTCTAAAACATAAAATCACTTACAAAAGCTAATACATTCTAATATCATATATACATTATATAAATAAATAAATAAATAATGAGGCGATTTATTAAAAAATGAAATTTATTATTTATTAGGACATTTAAAAAATCCTACTTTACTAATAATATTAATGATGATTATTATAATCATTATTATAATAATTATTATTATTGTTGTTATTATTAAGTAGGATATTGTTTATTTTTTTAGGTATACTTTTACAATTTGACGCATGCAAGCCATTGCACAAATGTTGTAACCCAGGGGTTCTCAACCTTTTTCACTTCGAGGCCCACCTCCTTCTCAGATAATTTTTTAAAGGCCCAAAATGATTGTCTAGAGAAAACGCTTATTTTAAAGCTTTATTTATTAGCAAACCATTTCTTTTGCTTTCTATTATTCCCTTATTCTTCTACATCATTTTATAAAAAAAACCTGAAACATTTATATATGTATTTCAATATAATATAAAATATAAAAATATAAATTATATAATTAAAAAACAAAATGCAGACCGGTTCAAAGCTCCTGAATTCTTTATTTCAGTTATTCTTTACAACTGTATTTGGGCCTTTTCTTCAGTAAAGGAACCTGACAGAAAATGGCAAAAAACTGATGCTTTGAATTAGACTGACTTCTTATCTATTGATCTACTATTCATTCATTCAATCATTTTCTTGTCTGCTTAGTTCCTTTATTAATCGGGAGTTGCCTTATCCAACTTATCCAGCAAGTTTTTACGCAGCGGATGCCCTTCCAGCCGCAACCCATCTCTGGGAAACATCCACACACACTCATTCACTACAGACAATTTAGCCTACCCAATTCACCTGTACCGCATGTCTTTGGACTGTGGGGGAAACCGGAGTACCCAGAGGAAACCCACGCGAACGCAGGGAGAACATGCAAACTCCACACAGAAACGCCAACTGAGCCAAGGCTCGACCCAGCGACCTTCTTGCTGTGAGGCGACAGCACTACCTACTGTGCCAATGCTTCGCCGATCTACTATTCATATCTTTTAAAATAAACAACCTACAAACCCTAAATGTAAAATATAGTAAAAACCCTCTAAATTCGACCTTAGTTGGCTAATGATTTGTTTTAAGAAATGCACCCCTGGTTGGAATCAAATGGAATAAGAAAGTTATGTGACAGTACAAGTGCCTTGAGGGTGAGCAAATCATGTGCTAATTCTCAATCATTTAGACTTGAGACAACACTTCTGGCACAGTGACCATTGTAACGCCATTCGTGTGTGGCTCATTCAGTGTTGCAGAAAGTCTGAATAAACTTTACAATAACTACATCTAATAACCATTGGGAAACTTCCTGCTTCAGTCTTTCTGTGGTCTTTGTGACTGTGGGTCTCTGCTTCATCATTTTCTCAGGATCTGTTCATCATTTTGCTTTGTTTATCTGACGATAAGTATACTTCTGAAACAAAACTGCCAAACAGTGGGCAGGGAAAGGCAGCTCATTTGCATTTAAAGGCATAGGCGCACAACAGCCAAAATTCCTTCTAACCCCAAATTGTACATTTTCAACAGGGTATAATAAATGATCTGATTGTTATTTTGAGCTGAAACTTCACATACACATTCTGGGGACACCACAGACTTATTTCATACCTTGCAAAAAAATGGGTGGCGTCAGTAAAAAAAATACATTCTCTTCTCTTTTGAAACTCATATGGAGAAGTTTGTCTTGAGCCTTAGTGTTTATATTCTCTGTGTGTTTTTAAGATAATTCATTTTTTTCAGTCCATATTTTATTCTGCACAGTATGTCGTGGAGCAAGGGTAAAGTTAAATATGGAGGTCAGTAACTTACTTTCTTCTAATATGTAATTTTTCAAAGCTTATATGTGATTTATTGTAAGTCTGCCTGTTTTGTGTTTTACAGCATATTATGATGATCTTGAAATGGGTAAGTCCAGTATTTAAGGATAATAAATTTAGGTTGTAAAAGTGCATATAACTTTTACTTCAGGTAAATGGTACTGAGTAAAAACTAAAATATATAAATTACATTTTTCAATATACAGTAAAAAATGGAAAATAACTCAAAATCTAAATTCATTGATAGAAGATTGTCAATATTTAAAATTAAAGTAACAACCTCACTGTTCTGACTGTGCTTGAGATTGAGTATAGCTGTGCATATATTCAAATTATAAATAAGTATAATAATAGAACACAGTTTGTCCCTATACAATACTCCAAAAAATTAAGCTCACATCTGTTGATCAACTTATTGTCATTTATTGTCAAGTAACTCATTAATTGTCTTACTCTTTTATTGATTACAGATGAAGAAACACCACTTATAAGAGCACAAAATGGTAAGAAACCTGGATTTACATGTTTCTTTGAATAAATAAATATATCTTAGATTTAATCCAGGCCAGAAAAACAGGCCAATCCAAAAAAAAAAAAAAAAAAAACACTTATTCTCGAGGGATTATTAAATATGCATGGCCCAGGCACCGTTTTGATTGACCACAATGGTATATTCATTTCTTTAAAAGCAACAGGCTGACTTTACTTTAAAAAGGTGAGTAAACAAGAGTGTAACTTTACTCACTTTTTTAAGCAAATCAAATTAATATTTTTTTTCAGTGTAGAGACGTTTTTTTTTTTCTTTTGTAAACAATCTGATGATTTTACAAAAAGAAAATGCTGATTCTTACATTTTTTCAGTCTTCTAAAATATGGAACTGTTTAAGCTGACACAGGTTTAAAAAGTTTCATACAGACATGAAATTCACACAAATGAATTAGATATGCGTTTGTAGGGTCACAGTTCCTTAAAATAATTACAATGCTGTTTATACAGTAAATTTTTATTAAGCAAATGCATTTAAAGGGGGGATATTATGCAAAAGTTACTTTTATAAATCTAGATTAATCTCAGAATTAATCTAGATTATTCTAGATTAAAATGACTCATTTGAATTCAGAATATGTGTGAATATGTTCAGAATATGTGTGCTACCCAAATAATAAGTCTTTGAAAACGGGTTTCTCAAGCCAGGTGGCGCATTAGACCAGGGGCACATCTCCTGTTTCCAAAATGCATCACAAACTGCAGGAGAAACTGTTCTACTGTGATAATTGGAGATTAAAATAAATGATGTTCAGTAAGATGTGCTTCTGTTTACTCACTGTTTATTCAGTAAACATGAACTGTAGGCCTACATAAGCTTGAAACAGCCATTTTTGATGACTTTAATCCCACTAAAGTCATAACTGAACTAAGCAGAAATGGAATTAAGACGTGCAGTATGCAGATATTAGTGACATTATAGAAGTAAACACTGCGATCAAACTATTACCGTCATGTAGGACTTTGACATATTTCCGACAAGATCCGCACACGCGGCTGTCAGTAAAGGACGACGCACACACACACATAATGCAAAATGCGACACTTTTTTTCTTTCCATTTGGCGTGTGTTATTAAATTCCATAACACTCTCACCAGTCCTTACTCCTTATTTGCGTCTAATATCCCAGTTTGTCACGGGGGCATGAATGAAATGTTCATGGTTAAAAGTGAAACTGCCAAACTGCAGTTAAAGTCATGCAAAATTACAGGAAACTTTACATTAAAGCACTTCACGTAAACACCTTCATTATATTATTGTCTAATAAGGCAAATAACTAGGTTACAGATGTCCATGTAAGCGTAGTCAGTCGTGTCTTTGAAGTAAGTGAAAGATCCAGGTCATCCTGCTGATTTGATTCAGAACGGCACTTTTTTTGTCAGACGGTTCACCAGTCAGGTATACCTCTGCGCTAAAATATCAAGGTGAAAGTCATCAAAGCTTGTGTAGAATAGACCCAGCTCCCAACCCAACTTTGAGAATAGATTAACGGTGATATTTTTTTTATTGTGCAATAAGAGTCTCACTTTAACGCAGCACGTTAACACTGATAATGGCCCACCACTGATTTAACACAATTGTGTGTCAGCAGTGTGTGAATATAGCCAGCCTCTAATAGTAAAAAAAGCATTAATCATATTTTTTTTATAATCACACTTCACAATACAGTCTGAAGAAACACTTGGATTGACATTCTCCCTTTCTTCGTGTTATCAGAGGGGGAGTGCCCTGCCTCTTAGTGATGATCTGTCCCTCTCTCTGCTCTCCACCCTAAATGAGAAGCAGCTGTCCGCCAATAGAGTTTTCACCTGCTGAAGATAAAAAGGCTTATACAAGTGTAGAGTTTAGAGAATCTTTAGAGAATTAGGGAGATAATACAAAAGTTACATTCCATGTACTTTTTGCTGAATTTTGAGATTTCTATGAAATCCATTTCAATAGTGCGTGTCTTTGGGTGTGTGTGGGTTCAAAGATGGTCAGATTTTTTCTTTGCAATGTCTTTGAAGATGGGACTGGCTGGTTCTGGCAACTTGGTAGATAAGATGTGTTACGTCCCTTTCCCTTTTTGGTCTAGGGTTGGGGAAAGAAAATAACAAAGAAAATTAAAATTTAGAATTTGAGAAATAGAAGATGAAATTAATGAATTGTGTATAAATTAAATAAACAAATATTGAGGGAACACTTCAATCCTGCCTCAGAAATGTGAATCAACAACAAGCGTAAACTTAAATTATTTTATTATTTAGTTCTCAATCAATAAACAATAAATGAAGCATAAATCTTCAGCAGAAGGATTAACCAAAACAGGTCTAGCTCAGGAGCAATACGAAATAACCCAATTTCAGGTAAAAGAAAAGAAACAACAAAGGCTTTCCTCTACTCCCTTACTATGAATAAACACAGTCATACAAGTACAAAAATAAAAATGGCACCCTCTCCCTACAGCTTCAATTTGTAAATCAAAAAGTCAGACAAAGAAACAATACAATTACCTTTTACATACCACACACACAAAAGAATATTTGTATTTAAATCACACAACTAAGAAAACAGACACACTGCCTGTAAAATTCCACAACGCAAGAACAAACAAGTTTCTCAACAGACAGAAGTCAAATTGAACTCAATCGCCTATTAAACTTATTTCTATAACCAACCAGATCAACACCCACAACGTATGACCACCACAATCACAAGTCTGGAGCAGGGGAGAAGTGAACCTCTCCGTGGGTTGAGACACACTGCTCTTTTGTAGCAGCGCATTACTGCAGCACGCTCCAATGATGAACCCCACCTGGGCCTAATCAGCTCTACCTAGTGAGCAGGCAGAGAAACACAGTGAAAGTAAAAGAGAAACACACAACATAACCACTTCCAATTGGCAGTGAACACACAAATAAACAATAATAATAAATAATAATGATAAATTAGGAGAAGCACTTTAGCATCTAGACCAGCAGCCTGTAAGTACATTTAAGACTTGTTTCAGTTGTTGTGTATGGTTTGAGGACTTGTTTTCAGCTGTTTGTGTAAAGTTGTAGGACATTTAAACTTGCTTTCAGTTGTGTATAATACTAGAAGTGTTTAGCCACTGTTTCCTTGGTTACTATAAGAGCTTGTGTAGCGAACGCAGACGCGGTTTCACGTCGTCCGCCTCAGTTTCGGCCCTTGTTTTGACTTGGGAGGCGTGTCCAAACGCCAGGTAACCAATATATAGTGAGCACGCTAGCATTAGTCGGCAGGAGAAGCACTTTAGCATCTAGACCAGCAGCCTGTAAGTACATTTAAGACTTGTTTCAGTTGTTGTGTATGGTTTGAGGACTTGTTTTCAGCTGTTTGTGTAAAGTTGTAGGACATTTAAACTTGCTTTCAGTTGTGTATAATACTAGAAGTGTTTAGCCACTGTTTCCTTGGTTACTATAAGAGCTTGTGTAGCGAACGCAGACGCGGTTTCACGTCGTCCGCCTCAGTTTCGGCCCTTGTTTTGACTCTCGAGGCGTGTCAGAGACACCGACAAAGCACTCGAGTACTTTACTTTCTTGTTTTACTTTATCTTTACACTTATTTTTGTTGTCAGTGCACGTTTATTATGTGTTTTCTAATTCCTGTTGTTACTAACACTCGCAAAACACGGGAGGTACGCTGCAGGCGTAATCCTCACAACCTTCGTTCAATACATGTATCTGCTATTTCTCAACTCTCTCTCTCCGTGGGCCTCTGGAATTGTCAATCAGCTGTTAACAAGGCAGATTTTATTACCTCCATAGCTACATATTCTGACTATAATCTCATGGCTCTAACTGAGACCTGGTTGAGGCCGGAGGACACTGCTACACATGCTACTCTTTCTGCTAATTTCTCTTTTTCCCACACTCCTCGTCAGACAGGGAGAGGGGCTGGGAACTGGACTACTAATTTCCAAAGAATGGAAATTTACTCTGATACCGTCCCTGCCAACAATCAGCTCCTTTGAATTCCATGCAGTCACCATTATCCACCCCTTCTACATAAATGTGGTTGTCATCTACCGCCCACCAGGTAAATTAGGTCACTTCTTAGATGAACTGGATGTTCTTCTCTCATCTTTTTCTAATTTTGACACTCCTTTGTTGGTGCTAGGTGACTTCAACATTTACGTTGACAAACCGCAAGCTGCAGACTTTCAGACTCTGCTTGCCTCTTTTGACCTAAAAAGAGCACCTACTTCTGCTACCCACAAATCAGATAATCAGCTAGACCTTATTTACACACGACACTGCTTCACTGATCAAACAATAGTAACTCCACTACAAATATCGGATCATTTCCTTCTGTCTCTCACATTACTCCTGAGCCACCACACACTCCAACACTGGTTACCTTTCGCAGAAACCTACGATCTCTCTCACCCAATAGACTATCCACCATTGTTTCAGACTCTCTTCCTCCATCTTGCAAACTCTCTGCACTTGATTCGAACAGTGCCACTGATACACTCTGCTCCACGCTAGCATCATGTCTAGACCGATTATGTCCTCTTGCATCCAGGCCAGCCCGTGCCAGTCCTCCTGCACCCTGGCTCTCGGATGCTCTCCGTGAGCATCGCTCAAAACTTCGGGCTGCAGAGAGAATTTGGCGGAAAACTAAAAATCCTGCACATCTCTAAACATACCAAACTCTTCTGTCCTCTTTCTCAGCTGAGGTTACTTCTGCAAAGCAGACGTATTACCGTCTGAAAATCAACAATGCCACTAATCCTCGCCTACTTTTTAAAACATTTTCCGCCCTCCTCTATCCTCCTCCTCCACCCGCATCCTCCACACTTACTACTGATAACTTTGCTACATTCTTCTGCACCAAAACTGCAAAAATCAGTGCTCAATTTGCTGCACCTACAACAAACACGCAAGGTACACCACCAACACCACACACACTCACCTCTTTTTCTCAGCTCTCTGAGTCTGAGGTTTCCAAACTCATGCTATCTAGCCATGCAACCACCTGTCCACTCGATCCCATTCCCTCTCATCTCTTGCAAGCCATCTCTCCTGCAGTCATACCAACACTGACTCACATAATTAACACATCTCTTGACTCTGGTTTATTCCCCACTACATTTAAGCAGGCTAGGGTAACCCCACTGCTAAAGAAACCCAACCTGGACCATACGCTACTTGAAAACTACAGACCAGTATCCCTGCTTCCATTCATGGCCAAGATTCTGGAGAAAGTAGTGTTCAATCAAGTTCTGGACTTTCTTACTCAAAACAATCTCATGGACAACAAGCAATCCGGCTTTAAGAAAGGTCACTCAACTGAGACTGCCCTGCTCTCGGTCGTGGAGGATCTCAGACTGGCTAAAGCAGACTCTAAATTATCAGTCCTCATTTTGCTGGACTTGTCAGCTGCTTTTGACACTGTCAACCACCAGATCCTGCTATCTACGCTCGAGTCACTGGGCGTTGCGGGCACTGTTATACAATGGTTCAGATCTTACCTCACTGACAGATCATTCAGGGTGTCTTGGAGGGGAGAGGTGTCCAACCTACAGCATCTAAACACTGGGGTACCTCAAGGCTCTGTTCTGGGGCCACTTCTCTTCTCCATCTACACATCATCTCTAGGACCAGTCATCCAGAGACATGGATTCTCCTACCACTGCTATGCTGATGATACCCAGCTATACCTCTCTTTTCATCCTGATGATCCCTCGGTTCCAGGTCGCATCTCAGCCAGCCTGTCAGACATTTCACACTGGATGAAAGATCATCATCTTCAGCTGAACCTCGCAAAAACGGAAATGCTTGTAGTTTGTGCCAACTCGACTCTACACCATAACTTTTCAATCCAGATGGATGGGGTAACCATTACTGCATCCAAAATGGTGAAAAGCCTTGGAGTAACGATTGATGACCAACTAAACTTCTCTGACCACATTTCTAGAACTGCTCGATCGTGCAGATTCGCACTCTATAACATCAGAAAGATCCGACCCTTCTTATCTGAACATGCAGCTCAACTCCTTGTTCAAGCTCTTGTTCTCTCCAAACTGGATTACTGCAACTCTCTACTAGCGGGGCTTCCAGCTGACTCTATCAAGCCTCTTCAACTGCTCCAGAACGCAGCAGCACGAGTGGTCTTCAATGAACCTAAAAGAGCACATGTCACTCCGCTGCTAGTCCGTTTGCACTGGCTGCCAGTTGCTGCTCGCATCAAATTCAAAGCTCTGATGTTTGCCTACAAAGTGACTTCTGGCTTTGCTCCTTCTTATCTGCTCTCACTTCTGCAGATCTGTGAGCCCTCCAGAAACTTGCGTTCTGTGAATGAACGTCGCCTCGTGGTTCCATCCCAAAAAAGGAAAAAATCACTTTCGCGAACGCTCACGCTCAATCTGCCCAGTTGGTGGAATGAACTCCCTAACTGCATCAGAACAGCAGAGTCACTCGCTACTTTCAAGAAACGCCTAAAAACTCAACTATTTACTTTCCACTTCACTTCCTAATCTGCAATTGCCTCTCTGAATATCACACTAACTGTACAAAAAAAAAAAAAATACTAATACTACTAATACTTCCCTTCTTAGACTTTACAGACCTGAAACTTGCCTATAGCACTTATTCATTGTTGCTCTTAGTTGTGAAAATTGCTTCCTTGTCCTCATTTGTAAGTCGCTTTGGATAAAAGCGTCTGCTAAATGACTAAATGTAAATGTAAATGTAAATACATCCAAGGGATGTAATAGATGCCACTGAGTGACTTTCACCAGCAGGCTCGCTGGCACCAGGTGTCAAACTCATATAGTACGAACTCAGACCCTTTTAGGGGTAACAATGGACTTTCACCTCTATATGTTACACATGTTATTATAGAAACATGGCGCCTTTCAATCAATGCGGTGTGGGGAAACCGGATTTCTCTTTAAAAAAGAGACTTGTGTTTATATCACTCTAATATGACAGTGGACACATTATATCTACACACAGTTTCCAAAAGTTGATTTTCATCATAGGTGCTCTATAACCCATCTTTCTGAACAGATTTTGTCTATGTGTGTGTGTTTGTATGTTTTCTTCGATTTGGCTGGACCAGTCTTAAGAAATCAATGTAAGTAAATTTTGTTATAGATTATTGAGCTGATTCCCTGAGCTTTAAAAGAATTGTGATTTATTCATAGTAAATAGAACACTGAGGTCTACACTTTGCATACATTATAGTTTATATAGCTATAAAATGAAAGCCTCAGTTTGGTGTGGAGTTATAATGCAAAAATCATTAAAATAAATAATCTGATTTGTTTTATTCTTAATTTATGTGGGCTGTTTTCAAAATAGGTTTTCATAAGCACTATTAATAACAAATTTTTATAATAATTAAAAGTTATTAAAAACTATAACTGTTGTATTTATGATGAGCGGTGCTGGGAGCAAAAGAAAACCCAGATGTTCTGACTTGTGGCCATTTCTGAAGCAAAGCACATTTCAAAAAGTTTGTGCTTTAACTTGTTGCATATTTATACACCAAAACTTGCAAAATGCAAAAAAAACTAATTTTAACCAATTAACTGATACTATTTTTCTGAAAAAATGCATCCTTTTGTTTAACGGTTAAACTGTCATTGTAAGCATCCCTTGCCGACTGGTGTGTTTGGTGAGTTTGCATGCAACGCCTCTCATCGTGATAACGTCAGAGCTCATTGGCCCAATTCAGTGTTCAGTATCAGCATCATACCGTCAGCTGAAGATAGCGATCTAATTGGTTTATTTGCAACAAATCAGAGCGCAAGTGTGATGTAATGAAATGATGTAGCATGAAAACAATTTCGCAAAGGAACACAAAGAGGTCGGCTGCAATATCTGAGATATTTGCAAATGAAATGGATTAATAAATTATCAGACATATTTGCAGGAGCGAATTCCTCCATAGTGGGTGACAATTACTGTGATGATGGTACTAAATGCTCATTTGTTTACACTTTGCACTATTACATACTTTATTATTAGGAAAAATTTTACTAAGAAGTACGTTGATAAAAATTTAGTTGTCATGGTCATGTCCTGTTAAATCAAATGAAAGCAGTTGAATTTTCTGTTCTACGCTATAAAGATCTACTATAGACTTATGGTATTTACTGGGTTTTTCCTGTTAGAAAGAAAGAGAAATAAAGAGCACCTTCTGGCCTTAATTAGTAGACTACGAATCTAAACTACTAATCATAGCATCATACTTTTCTCACATGATGTGTAAAGCAATCACAGCTTCTGCTAAATCACTAATCAATTTTAAATCGCTTTATCATTCATCCCTAATTTGTTGTACATCATTTCAGTTTAAGAAAAATCAATAGAAAATGCTTTAAATGTAGCCACATTTCTGGAAAGGGTCAGCCTCTGTCAATTGTTTCTCTTTTGTCTTAGTATAGTATTTTCAAAGTTTTATGCATTTGTTGACACCCGATTTTATTAACCATTTTTTTTACAGATGAAGCAGACTCCATTGAAAAGCCGAGGCTTATGGTGCTTGGATGTGATGATGCTCTTATGGATAAAGCATGCGCTACAATCCTTGGAGAAAGAGAGAACAGGGATGCATTTAAATTTCGACCATTGATTCCCAGGAAGGCTTCAGTTGGTGGACGAAAGGTTTCTGTATTAAAAACCCCATCCTACTGGCTAGAACACTTGAAATCATACTACATTTTCAGCAATGGAGTCAAATCTATCACATATGAAATTAATCACTTTGTTGACATACAGTTGTATCCCGGTCCTCATGCCTTTCTGTTAGTACTTAAAAATATGAAAAACTCTGGTAAAGAGCATTACCTTTTACGTGCTCTCCGTGATGTGTTTGGGAAGGAGATCTTGGACTTTTGCATGGTTATTTTTTTATATGAAGACCGGTACAGTGATCCTCAACGTAACAAATGTTTGAAGAAGTGTAAGAATAGACATCACCTTTTACAGAACACTGACGAAAGTGTTAATCAGTTATTGGAAAAAATAGACACAATGACACAACAGAAAAGCAGCAGATTTTACACTAATTATCTGGAGAGTTTCAGAAAAGCTGAAAGTTACTTTCGGGAGGAATTTAATGCTGAGTATGTGGAAAGGGAGAACAAACTGAGAGGAGAAAAAGAAACCGCTGAAAAGAAAATTAAAGAGATGAGAGAGCAGCACACAAAGAAAGTAACAGAACTGAATGAGAGAATTAAAGATGAGCAAAATGGTTTTAAAATCAGAGAGATTCAATTAAAGAAAGAGCTGAACGCTTTGAAGATAAGAGAAAATCAATTAAAGAAAAAGCTGATAGATTCCAAAATTAAAGAGGATCAGTCTGATAAACTGTTGGTGACAGATGATTTATACACCACTGGGAATTATGAGGAGCAAAACGAAGAACTGGTTAAGAGAGACAAAAAACTGGATGAAAGACAGAGAAATCTGGATGCAAGACCAAAAGAGCTGAAGGCTGGAGAGAGAAAACTGACACAGAGAGATGCTGAATCCAGTGAACATCCTCAAACCACAGCAGAAACCCCCTCTGCTTGCAAGTAATTTTTTCTCACTTTTTTATGTTTTATCTGACTTTCCAAATCATTATTACTGACATATATGATTTGGAAGATAATTAGGGAACGTTTTTTTTTGTGTGTGTGTGTGTGTTTAAGAAGAGATGGCATATTTTGCCCACAATTAATGCATTGTCACTTTTTAAGTCTGAGACACAATAAGCCAAAGTCAAATGACTAGACTGCATCTGGTCTAATCTGGGACAAAAACCTGCATGATCACATCAAACAGATGACAGCTGGAGTAGGGTCTGTCTGTGGACTGCAAAAGAGGGGTGTAACATGAAGCGGGCACAACTTGTAGTGAGTGTTGGGGAGCAACTAGTTACATGTAACGGCGTTACATAACTTAATTACAAAATAAAAGTAACAGTAATTTGTTACAGTTAATGGGGAAAATGTGTAATTAAATTACAGTTACTCATTGAAATGTTAAATATTACAAATGGGGTTATATCTAAATATGTTCTTTAAAAATCTAGGATATGTTGAATAATATTGGTCTGTTGCTTTGCCTGTTTTTGATACGCACGACGACTTCTACTAAAGCCATTTATTGAAGCGGTGCTATTCTGCTATAACTACATTTCTCAGTAGCGTGGCGGTAGCGTCGCTATTTTCTAAATCAAATAGCTTTTCAGTGGCGAAATATTTTATTAGTCAAATAGTGCAGTAGTGTCCACACAAACTACAATTACCAATCGCGGATAAATAAGTTAGGGCACCGCCATTCATGGAGCTGTGAGGATGATGTCTAGCTGCCTGGATGATGTCTAGCTGATGAAAATCAATCCATGATGTCGAGAATGACGATTTCTACTTCTTCCTGTTTTTTAGTGGTCGACAACAAACTTTTTGGTGCAATACTGCCACCTCTCGCTCTGGTCTGTGACGTTGCTTATCATTTAGGCTAACACAAGAAACTTGCTTGATTAAAAGATGAGTGAGGGAGAGGAGGTCATCCCACCCTAAACCCAACCATCATAGATATTTTCTAGACCTGTACTTTGACTTATTGAAGTTCAAGGTGGAGAATAACTTCTCACACAAATATGTGCTCCCAAAAAGGCCAAGTCCAAGGAAAAAAAGTGGGGGAACTCACTCAAAACTTCCATTCCCTCACCTAAAAAAAGGCGTACAGTATATATGTATAAATAAAACACCCCCACCCCACTCCAGTCACATCAGTCTGTACCAGTCTGTATCTACCTATAATATATATATACAGGGCTCGAAATTAACTTTTTTACTTGGTAGCACCGGTGCTCCCAACTTCAAATATTTAGGAGCATCAAAATAAATTTAGGAGCACCAGAAAAAATTTAGGAGCACCCACCAAAAATGAATGAGCACCGCTGCAAATTGCTTTTTAAGGGATTTATTGTATTTTAAAACAACATCAATAGGACTGACAAAAACCAGAAACAACTATCTAACTAATGCTGCAAAGACATTGATATTTGTGTGCAATAATTCCAAAATGAATGTCTAATAATTAGGCCATAGAATATTAGTGATGATGAAAATGACAATAATAGTAACAATGAATTACATTTCTCATTATGATACTGCCTTGAATGTGCATGAATGTAGGTTATCTGCTATAAAAAGTCTGTTAATTTATGAAAAATAATTGTATAGTTTGCATCAAACAAAAATGAAGCATTGCAGTAAGAAATATTTATTTTGTACTGCTGTTTTATATGCATGTCAATTTAATAAATAATATTTCTGCTACAAAACAAACAAAAGATTATAATAAATCATTCAATTCAATGACGAAAGCTGCAAAGCAGTCATCAGTAAATAAATTTACAAAAATAATATACACCTCAAAAAAAGAATAGACAAAAGAAAGAAAGTAAAGTCTCATTTCTATCACTCTTTAAAAGTTTTGGTTTCAGTTTGTGTCAATTTAAAGGTTCAGTCTGAGCTGATCTTCATTTTTCTGTGTTTGTGGAAAAGCTGGCGAGTCAGCCGACCTATTTTATGAGCAGGCAGAGCAGGATTCTTGCGATGACCACCGGCGCAATACCGCTCTTTGTTATGAGCCGCAGTTTTAGTGTAAACTTAGTAAAGGCGAGCTTCTTTGGCGATGATATGTACAGTATTAGATTTGACTTTTAGCGGACATTTGCGCTGAACACGCAGTGAATGCAACGCATGGAGATTCGGGCGCCTTCTCCAAGATGCGCGTACTCGATTGATCTCAGCTGGCGGATCATTATTCACCACGTGACGTGTCTTGATCGCTTTCATCTGCGCCTTAACTTTAGGTGGGGTTTGCAAACCTGTGTGCTTTAAGTTTTTACTCTTCAGCCGTTTGCATTTCCCGTGGTCATAAAAGCTCCTTCCCTGTCATCTGACAGCGGAAAACCTTGAGTGAGTGACAGCTAATATGAACCAATATAGCGGCAGGGAAGACCGATTCAGCACGTTTTTACAAAAAATCAAAACAGGTCGCACTACAACCATTATCTGCAGTCGCACTAATGCGCCCAAATATATTACGAGGTCGCATAGATTAATTTTCGGGCGCATATGCGACCAAAACGGTCGCAATTTCGAGCCCTGTAAGACGCAGGCTGTAGCTAGGTAGCTAAGTGGCAGGCAGGGGCGGGAACAGCTTACCTTGGTTCTGGCCGGCGCGAGTTCCCTCCTACTTCCCGCCCGTCACAGCGTCTAACAAAGGGGCAGGGTGCGTGGTGACGTCACCGGCATCCCCGTCCCTTTGTTTACACGGCGGGCGGGGAATGCCAGTGACCGCTGTGTACGGATAGAATCAGCGGAGCGGGGAGCGCTCTCTCTCCCCGCTCCGCTGATTCTGTCAGTGTACAGCGGTCGGCGCGGGCCACAAAATATTGCACTGAGGGCCGCAAATGGCCCGCGGGCCGCGAGTTTGAGACCCCTGGTCTACACCATCCCCCACCCTAAACTTAACCATCACAGATATTAACGTCTACAATTTCCCCACCCTAAACCCAACCATCACAGATATTAACGTCTACACCATCCCCCACCCTAAACCCAACCATCACAGATATTAACGTCTACAATTTCCCCACCCTAAACCCAACCATCACAGATATTAACTTCTACACCTCCCCCCACCCTAAACCCAACCATCACAGATATTAACGTCTACAATTTCCCCACCCTAAACCCAACCATCACAGATATTAACCATCCCCCACCCTAAACCCAACCATCACAGATATTAACGTCTACAATTTCCCCACCCTAAACCCAACCATCACAGATATTAACGTCTACACCATCCCCCACCCTAAACCCAACCATCACAGATATTAACGTCTACAATTTCCCCACCCTAAACCCAACCATCTCAGATATTAACGTCTATACCATCCCCCACCCTAAACCCAACCATCACAGATATTAACGTCTACAATTTCCCCACCCTAAACCCAACCATCACAGATATTAACGTCTATAATTTCCCCACCCTAAACCCAACCATCACAGATATTAACGTCTATAATTTCCCCACCCTAAACCCAACCATCACAGATATTAACGTCTACAATTTCCCCACCCTAAACCCAACCATCACAGATATTAACGTCTATAATTTCCCCACCCTAAACCCAACCATCACAGATATTAACGTCTACAATTTCCCCACCCTAAACCCAACCATCACAGATATTAACGTCTACACCATCCCCCACCCTAAACCCAACCATCACAGATATTAACGTCTACAATTTCCCCACCCTAAACCCAACCATCACAGAAATTAACGTCTACAATTTCCCCACCCTAAATCCAACCATCACAGATATTAACGTCTACACCATCCCGCACCCTAAACCCAACCATCACAGATATTAACGTCTACACCTCCCCCCACCCTAAACCCAACCATCACAGATATTAACGTCTACACCTCCCCCCACCCTAAACCCAACCATCACAGTTATTAACGTCTACACCATCCCCCACCCTAAATCCAACCATCACAGATATTAACGTCTACACCTCCCCCCACCCTAAACCCAACCATCACAGATATTAACGTCTACACCTCCACCCACCCTAAACCCAACCATCACAGATATTAACGTCTACACCTCCCCCCACCCTAAACCCAACCATCACAGTTATTAACGTCTACACCATCCCCCACCCTAAACCCAACCATCACAGATATTAACGTCTACACCATCCTCCACCCTAAACCCAACCATCACAGATATTAACGTCTACACCTCCCCCCACCCTAAACCCAACCATCACAGATATTAACTTCTACACCTCCCCCCACCCTAAACTCAACCATCACAGATATTAACGTCTACACCTCCCCCCACCCTAAACTCAACCATTACAGATATTAACGTCTACACCTCCCCCCACCCTAAACCCAACCATCACAGTTATAAACGTCTACACCATCCCCCACCCTAAACCCAACCATCACAGATATTAACGTCTACAATTTCCCCACCCTAAACCCAACCATCACAGATATTAACGTCTACACCATCCCCCACCCTAAACCCAAACATTACAGATATTAACGTCTACACCTCCACCCACCCTAAACCCAACCATCACAGATATTAACGTCTACACCATCCCCCACCCTAAACCCAACCATCACAGATATTAACGTCTACAATTTCCCCACCCTAAACCCAACCATCACAGATATTAACGTCTACACCACCCCCACCCTAAACCCAACCATCACAGATATTAACGTCTACAATTTCCCCACCCTAAACCCAACCATCACAGATATTAACGTCTACAATTTCCCCACCCTAAACCCAACCATCACAGATATTAACGTCTACACCACCCCCACCCTAAACCCAACGATCACAGTTATTAACGTCTACAATTTCCCCACCCTAAACCCAACCATCACAGATATTAACGTCTACACCATCCCCCACCCTAAACCCAACCATCACAGATATTAACGTCTACAATTTCCCCACCCTAAACCCAACCATCTCAGATATTAACGTCTACACCTCCCCCCACCCTAAACCCAACCATCACAGATATTAACGTCTACACCACCCCCACCCTAAACCCAACCATCACAGTTATTAACGTTTACACCTCCACCCACCCTAAACCCAACCATCACAGTTATTAACGTCTACACTTTTCCCCACCCTAAACCCAACCATCACAGATATTAACGTCTACAATTTCCCCACCCTAAACCCAACCATCACAGATATTAACGTCTACAATTTCCCCACCCTAAACCCAACCATCACAGATATTAACGTCTACACCACCCCCACCCTAAACCCAACCATCACAGTTATTAACGTTTACACCTCCACCCACCCTAAACCCAACCATCACAGATATTAACGTCTACACTTTTCCCCACCCTAAACCCAACCATCACAGATATTAACGTCTACACCACCCCCACCCTAAACCCAACCTTCACAGTTATTAACGTTTACACCTCCACCCACCCTAAACCCAACCATCACAGTTATTAACGTCTACACTTTTCCCCACCCTAAACTTAACCATCACAGTTATTAAAGTCTACATGTAGGTCCACCCTAAACCCAACCATCACAGTTATTAATGTCTACACCTCCCCCCACCCTAAACCCAACCATCACAACCAGTAAAGACAGTACAAAATACAGACAGTGCAAATAAAATGACAGTGCAAAATACAGTGCAATTACAATGACAGTCACAGTGCAAAATACACAGTGCAAATACAACAGCATACTCCCAAAAGGTAGCTGTCAACATGGCAGCAATGCTCTGTGCCATCTTGCAGGTCTACATTACACTCTATGAATATGTGTAGAATTAATCTACATTATAGTGGTTGTGAAGAATTTATATCTTCAACATAATTTAATGAGCTAATAGCCCATGGGTTAATAATCCATTAGCTAAAACAAAAATATATTCTGAATAACATTGCTTTCAGACTGAACACAAAATGCTTGATCAGGGGTCCGTTCTTCGTACCTCGCTTAAATGATCTAAGATGATTTGGCAGATCCTGGATCTTTTCATCTCGATAACTGATCTCTCGCTAATTTTATTCTTCAAACAAGTTCGCGAATCAGATTAGAATATCTGGATGAACTGATCTGAGATCGCTGCGTGTGTTGTGAAGGACAGATCTATCGATCTTCGAAATCATGATCAGCAATGCAACGATTGGCTGACGGCACATCAGCGTAATGACATCATCTGATTAATATTCAATTATCCATGTGAGCAAAATTACATAAAATTAGCAGTAAATGGCTTGTTAAATATGACACGCAATAACCTTCCACATTTGTTGTGAGCTGCAGGCTTTACACTTTCATGTGTCAAGAGTATTCATCATGTATTTCAATGCAAATCAATGTATTTAGTTCTACATTTAGAAAAGATTTTTTTTATTATAGTAGCCGTTTTTTAATCTGTGTAAAGAATAACTGGTTGTTTACAAAAGCATTTTGATATTGGTAAACTGCTACTTTTGTTAAGCATCAAATCACCGGCATATTAACTATCAAAACATGTTTATGACTGCTGAAATGTATTATTGCTTTAAAAAAAGTCACAGTTTGCAAAAAGTTGTGCATTTCTATTATACACAATTTGTACTAAGCGATCTAAAAAGTTCATATCAATAAGTTTTCTCTTTGCACCACCAGATGGCAGTCTTTGTACTTTCATTTCGAGAGTGCAGATTGCATACGTTTTATTAATATATATTTATTTTATTAATAACTATAACTTTATATATAGTTTAAAAAATATTTACTCTTTTCCCAAGTGTATATAACTACTACTGTAAGAAAATATCAGAATTGGGAACATACTTTCTGTATTATATTTGCTTGAACTGAGCCGATCTAATCCTGTTTATATGAATTGAACCTGCTCCTGATCAGGTTTAAGCTAACAGAACTGTTGCTATGACAACAACTCTCGGATCAGCTTTGAAGAACGAAACGATCCTGAATCATGTCAAATCGTCAATATCCAAATCCAGCTAACTGAGTAATCCACGTACGAAGAACGGACCCCATCTCTGGGAATTTTGAAGTTATGTTTTTGTTTTCTATGTTTAATTGACTCAGACCCCCAACAATATAAACCCTTGACTTCTATTCTGTTCCAGAACACTTTTAACCGGGTCTACACTATATTAGTATGGAAAATTTATATCATAAATACCTAACTACAAATTTACTTAACCTTTACTAAAAAATATCCTTTCTCCTTAGCATCTGAAAGTGAATAAAGACCACTGATTTGTTAATGGACTGTGATTGTCCTGAGGTGAGTTTACAGTTTCCTCTTAAAAGAGTTTTTTTTTTACTCTTATTCAAAACATGTCAGAAAGTACTCACACATTTTCATGCAATTCTTTTTCAGAGAGTGTCTGCATGGACGTTCACCTGTCAAACTCTAAAAAGGACCAAAACACCATAGCTTTGCACTATATTTTAATCCATTCCCTGTTTAGCAAAGTCTTGTAAAACAATGTATAAAACACAGATTAAAAAAAAAATATTGCTGTAAAATAGTTTTTGTTGACACATCTTTGCACGTTATATTAAAGTACTTTAAAATACATACTGGATTAAGTAACTCATTTGGAGCAAAATAATAATTGATCATAACGTTACAATTTACCAATCTTTATGAAGCAAATTTTGTTTGTAAAACATTTTCACTGATGAACACCGATTTACTAATATTGCAAAGTGTGTGTGTGTATATGTATACATATAAATGTAAAATTTCTATATTTTTTTATATGGTTATAGCGAGAGAAAATCCCTTTTGATAACGTGCACAGAGTCATGTAAACAACATATAATCATAGCAAACAAGTAAATCATTTATGATGTGAGAAAATGATTAAGCAGCTATTCGAATAAAAAGTTTTGCAAACACTTTATCGTCATTTGTTTATTAACAAGAATTTACCCAGTTTGCGTGGAAAACATATAGCAGAGTGATAACCACGCCCTCTGTGGTCACAGATGTTGATGGTCACTAACCCTGGCAACATCATGGTGTAAAATCCTGGCCTAAGAATAACCTTTTCTTTAACTTTTGCAGAGAAGACATTTAACTTATAAACTTGTAACCTACTTTATTGTTTTTTATATCAATAATCAGTTGTTGATTCTACAGGTAAGCGTCTGTTGTTATTACATTTAGTAGGACATTTCTACATTTCAGGGCAAAAAAAAATGTATCAGGTCTAAATGTACCATCTTCTGGATATTTATAAGATATGTTGCTGTATGTATGTATTTTTTTTATTTAGTGCCATGTCAGCAACCAAGGCTATCTTCATGGCAGGAATCTTTTAACAATAAACATACAATTTAAAAATCAACAAACAAAATAAAACATAAATTAAATAAGATTTTTTGTGTTAATACATGATAAAAATTCTAAAATCTTTTCTGGTTCCACTTTGTCAAAAATGTCCTTAAAAGAGTTCATTTCATAAAAAGTCCTTCTGGAATCAGTAAAAGCAGGACAGTCCAGTAAAATATGTTTTACAGTAATAGGAGTTTTGCAGCACAAACACTGAGTGGGGTTTTCACCTTGGAGCAAAAAACCATGTGTAATTCTCGTATGCCCAATACGGCATCTGGTAAAAACTACTTGATCAAATCGATTCTTAAAATGTCTTAAAATTCTGTGTGAAACTTCAGGTTGGATTTCATGTAGTTTATTGTTTTCTAATGCATCCCATTCCTTTTGCCACTTGTTTAAAATGTAAGCGTTGATAAAAGGTTTCATATCTGACGGAGGAATTTGGCATTTGTTCATTACTTGCTTCAAAGCATCTTTAGCAGCTACATCAGCTCGCTCATTGCCTAAAAGCCCGACATTTCCAGGAACCCAGCAAAAAATGATGTGATAAAACTGATTTTGTAGTTGGTGAACTTTAGTTAAAATATTATCAATCAAAGGATGATCATTTGTTGAAGATTCCATAACTTGGAGGCATGATTTAGAGTCTGTGAAAATGATGAATTTCTTTTGTTGTGCATTTTCTATGTACTCCAATGCTAAAAGTAAAGCGCGGGCTTCAGCTGTGAATATGGAGCATTCTTTAGGTAGACTGATTCCATGACTTTGTTCCCCTGTCACCATTGCTGCTGCTACATTACTTTCCATCTTTGAACCATCTGTGAAGATTGGTATGTGCTGAGAGTATTGAGTTCTGATATCCATGTATTGTTGTTTGTACATATTGGGATGAGTAACTCCTTTCTTCTGGTGTCCTAGCTCCATATTGATTATAGGCATCTTTAAATTCCAGAGAGGCAATGAGTTGAAGTGTATTTGTTTTAAAATGTCCAGGTTTAAATTTAGATTTTGTAAGTGTGAATTGATACGTAAACCAAATGGTCTGATGGTTTTTGGCTTACTTTCGTATAATTGTACAAACTGAGGTTCGAAAACTGCAGTATAGGCTGGGTTATTCTTATTTGCCTTTAGTTTGATAGCATATTGTAATGAAAGTTTCAGCCGTCTATTTTGAAGTGAGGGTTCGTTAGCTTCAATGTACAGACTCTGAACGGGTGATGTTCTGAATGCTCCTAAAGCAAGCCGTAATCCTTGATGGTGGACTGTATTGAGGATTTGTTTATAAGATTTCCTGGCAGAGTCATAAATTATGCTTCCATAATCCAAACGAGATCGAATGAGTACTCTGTACAATCGTAAAAGTACAGTTAAGTCAGCACCCCAATTTGTTTTTGCCAACACTTTGATTATGTTCATAGCTTTGAGGCACTTGTTTTTCAAAAATTTTAAATGAGGGATAAAAGTCATTTTGTTATCAAAAAGGAGACCTAAAAACTTGATTTCTTTAACAACTTTGATCATATTTCCATTGATAAAAAGTTCTGGATCATGATGAAGTGATCGCTGTATACAAAAATGTGTACAAACAGTTTTTGTTTTAGAGAACTTAAAACCATTTTCGACAGCCCACTGGTTAATTTTGTGAATATTTAACTGCAATTGCCTTTCAATTGTATTCATGTTCTTCCCTCTGTAACAGATACATAAATCATCCACGTAGATGCTGCAGAACATATTTGGAGCAATGATTTCCACAATGCTATTTATTTTAATACTGAAGAGTGTGACCGAGAGTATACTTCCTTGAGGAACTCCGAGTTCTTGTTGGTGGGTATTTGAAAGGGAATTTCCCACTTGGACTCTAAAGTTTCTTCTAGTGAGAAAGTTTGAAATGAAGGTAGGAAGTTTTCCTCTAAATCCCATTTGGTGAAGATCTTTTAAAATTCCATATCTCCATGTTGTGTCATAAGCTTTTTCTAAATCAAAGAAAACAGCAACAACATGTTCTTTTCTGATGAATCCATCTCTGATATAAGTTTCTAGTCGGATTAACTGATCCAATGTACTCTTTCCACGTCTAAATCCACACTGGTAGTCAGTTAGTTGTTTGTTTTTTTCTAGTGTCCAGACAAGACGGTTGTTAATCATTCTTTCCATAGTTTTACATAAACAACTGGTCAGAGCAATTGGTCTGTAGTTATTTGGATCAGTGTGGTCTTTTCCTGGTTTAGGTATAGCTATTACTGTTGCTTCTTTCCACGAAGCTGGAATTTTTCCCGAAGACCAGATGTTGTTGAACTCGTCCAGTAGGAGGCATAGTGAACTATATGGTAAGTGTTTTAAAAACTGGTAATGGATTTTATCTGGTCCAATGGCTGTATCATGTGAGCATTTTAAAGAATTTATTAATTCTTTAATTTTAAAAGGTTGATTATATACTTCTTTGTTGTCAGAATAAAAATTTAGTTCTTTGCATTCCTGCTGTGCTCGTATGATTTGAAATGCTGGGAGGCAGTTCTCTATTGATGAATTCTTTTCGAAGGCTTCAGCTAATGTATTTGCTATATCCATTTCCTTTGTTTGAAGTATTCCTTGTTTTATAATATGTTGTATGCGAGTTCCATTTTCCTTTCCCTTCATTTTACGGATCATGTTCCAAATCTTCTTCATGGGAGTATAGTAAGTTAAGCTGGATACAAATTGTTTCCAGCTTTGTTTCTTTGCTTCATTTAGGGTTCTGCGAGCTTGGGCTCTACAAATTTTAAAATGGATAAAATTTGTAGTTGTTGGATGTTTATTAAAAGCACGTTCTGCTTTTTTCCGAGTTTCAATAGCTTTTTTACATTGTTCATTAAACCAGGGATTTGTCTTTCGTTGTGGTTTTGTTGATGTCTTTGGGATGGTTTCATCTGCTATAGCGATTAACTGCTGAGTGAAGTCTTCTATTGAGTTCTGATTATCTTGGGTAGCTGACATAAATTTTTCACAACACATGGTTTGAAAGGTGGTCCAGTCTGCTTTCTTGAGTTGCCATCTTGAAGGTCTACTTGTTACATCCAGTTGTGGAAATGTGAGGATAATTGGGAAGTGGTCACTCCCGCATAGATCATTCCATACTCTCCATGAACAGTCAAGTAAAAGATCAGCATTACATATTGTCAGATCGATTGCTGTATAAGTACCATGTCCTGGATGAAGATATGTTTTGGTTCCATCATTTAAAAGACATAAATCATTATTTTCTATAAAAGTTTCCATTCTTCTTCCTTTGGCATCACAGTGATCATCACCCCATAAGATGTTGTGGCTGTTAAAATCACCCATCAGTAAAAATGAAGTTGGTAATTGTGAAATAAGTTTGTACAGTTCTTGAGGTATTACAGCTTCATGAGGTGGAATATAGATAGAACATATTGTAATTGTTTTATGTAGAGTAAGTTGAACTGCTGTTGCTTGTAATTGAGTGTCCAATACAACTTGACTGTGGATAATGTCGTTTCTCACTAGGATAGCTGATCCTCCAGAGGGTCGTTGTATGTTTGGTCCACATATACTAATCATATTAAAACCTTTAAAAGTTAAGGCATCATTTGGAGATAAGTGGGTTTCCTGAATACAATAGGCAAGTGGGTTAAAAACAGAATTTAAATGCTGTAATTCTGCAAAGTTGGTTTTTAGTCCCCGACAATTCCACTGTATTATGTGATTGTTTATTCTCAAGTGGGAAATATAGGTACAGGTCCTTTATTTTTACATTTAGGTGAGAGACTACGACTACGACTGGTCGTTGTCTCCGTCATTTCAATATCTTTAGGATTGTCATCTTTGTGAGTTCGACATTTATCTTGATTTGGTTGTTGATTTGTTGTACTTGGAGTTTTCTTTTTCACTTTTGATTCTTTCTGTTCTAGGTATGAGTCTTGAATTGGTCCAGTTTGAATGAGTTCATTTTTTGTTTTTTGGGAAGTTGAATTTTTGGTGTTGCTTATGGTTTGAGGTTTGTCCTTGAATAGCCAAGTTAGATCCGTCTGACAACTTATTGATTGAGTTTTTGGTGTGACTGCAACAGAATAGGGCTTTTTCAGACAGAAGGCAGGAAGAGCTTCAACTATTTTACGAGCTTCAGGATAACTCATCTTCCTTGTGTGTTTTATTTTTTGTATTTCTTTCTCTTTATGCCAAATGGGACAATTCTTTGATGAGGCTGCATGATCTCCAAGGCAGTTTTTACATTTAGGAGGTTTTGTGCAGTTCATTCCATGATCATCCTCACCACAATTTTGACATGTTGTCTTATTTTTGCATCCTGCAGATCCATGACCAAATTTCTGGCATTTAAAACATCTCAGTGGATTTGGTATGAATATATCTACAGCAACACTTAAATATCCAAGTTTGATTTTCTCTGGTGGTTGTGGTCTGTTGAAGGTCAGGATGTATGTTCCCGTTTTAATCATCTGCCCATCCTTTTTGATGATTATTCTTTTTACATCGATTACACCTATTGGTTTTAATTCTAAAGCGATTTCAGATTCGTCCATTTCTTGTAATTCTCTGGTG